AATCCCTACTGTTGAAATAAATCAGCAATACCCAAGCACAGCAACTGCAGTGTTAATAACTGTGACAATCTCCAGTGAAATTATAAAAATAAATACAAAATGTGCAATTAATCATAGCTCCTCGAAAAAACATACTCATATACATATACCCCAACCACCCTTACTGTGAAGCATGGTGGTTCACCATCCCTATTGTGAAGCATGGTGGTTCACCATCCCTGCTGTGAAATATGGTGGTTCACCATCCCTGCTGTTAATTATGGTGGTTCACCATCCCTGCTGTGAAGCATGCTGGTTCACCATCCCTATTGTGAAGCATGCTGGTTCACCATCCCTATTGTGAAGCATGCTGGTTCACCATCCCTATTGTGGAGCATGCTGGTTCACCATCCCTATTGTGGTCTGGAGCATGGTGGTTCACCATCCCTGCTGTGAATTATGGTGGTTCCCCATCCCTGCTGTGAATTATGGTGGTTCACCATCCCTACTGTGGAGCATGGTGGTTCACCATCCCTACTGTGAATTATGGTGGTTCACCATCCCTATTGTGAAGCATGGTGGTTCACCATCCCTATTGTGAAGCATGCTGGTTCACCATCCCTATTTTGAAGCATGCTGGTTCACCATCCCTATTGTGGAGCATGCTGGTTCACCATCCCTATTGTGGAGCATGCTGGTTCACCATCCCTATTGTGGAGCATGCTGGTTCACCATCCCTATTGTGGAGCATGCTGGTTCACCATCCCTATTGTGGAGCATGGTGGTTCACCATCCCTATTGTGGAGCATGGTGGTTCACCATCCCTACTGTGGAGCATGGTGGTTCACCATCCCTACTGTGAAGCATGGTGGTTCACCATTTCTACTGTGAAGCATGGTGGTTCACCTTCCCTATTGTGAAGCATGGTGGTGGATCTCTACTGTACTGAGGTAAAATAAATGCAAAGTACCATCAGATTGGTGGAAAACCAGATATGGCGCACACCTGGACCTCTGCCATGACCATGATCCCAAACACCTGGACCTCTGCCATGACCCCAAACACCTGGACCTCTGCCATGACCCCAAACACCTGGACCTCTGCCATGGCCCCAAACATCTGGACCTCTGCCATGAGCATGATCCAAACCACCTGGACCTCTGCCATGATCCCAAACACCTGGACCTCTGCCATGACCATGATCCCAAACACCTGCACCTCTGCCATGACCATGATCCCAAACACCTGGACCTCTGCTATGACCCCAAACACTTGGACCTCTGCCATGACCATGATCCCAAACATCTGGACCTCTGCCATGACCATGATCCCAAAAATCTGGACCTCTGCCATGAACATGATCCTAAACACCTGGACCTCTGCCATGACCCCAAACTGGCTAAGGCCACCCGTCGGTGCCTGCAGCAGACAAAAGTAAAGGTTCTGGAATGACCATCACCATCCCTTATCGGGACATTTTGGGGACACCCCAGACATGGGGGTTCACGATGGACACTCAAAGAATGCACAGGACCTGGAGGACGTTACCAATAAAGGGCCTCATTCACAAACATCACAAAACACTGGCACCCACCATTGATTCTGAAGAGGCCTGCACAATGAGCACCCTTTGTGAGAAGCCGCTGAAGGAAGCGGTCACAGGGTGATATATGAGCACCATGGTGGACAAGCAGAAGGTATCTAGTGGATTCCTGCCCTGGGGTGGGGTAAGCTCCCCCCATAGACGATGGAGATCAGTAGATGCCAGCTGTTTGGTCCTACATAGGCGGACACCTGTGGTTTCCGGATTGCCAGCTCTGTGGCTCAGCTGTATTTCTCAGGAGGTGAGATGTGTACCAGGCAGGTAACGGAGGTGCTGGAGGGTTGTTTGAGCCCCCATGGCAGACCACGTGACGCACAGCTGTGATAGCCATCATCCTATGAAATAAAGAATTTCTTTGTTCTGCCCATACAGTATGGAAACATCTGGGATTCATCATGGCGCCCCTCCCCGCTGTGAGACATGGCGACAAAGACATGACTAGACAGATCCTCCGATAGAACCTAATTACAGCAGGGGATGGGGGGGCACTTATGGGGGACACTCCGCCCGCAGCGCAGGAGACCCTTACCAATGGGCATAGAGAACTCCATATCTCGGTGCTCCACCATAACCAGCTGGGGCCACACAGTTAGTGACCCCCAATAATATGATGCATATAGACCGTGTCTAGGGGGTTCCCTGCTTCGGGTTCCATGACCCTTCCCACATTCGAGGGGGGGGGGGGGAGGCATTCTCCTGTCTGTTTAGAAAGAAAAACTATTTTTTATCCTTTTGCACAATTTTTCCATTTTTGAGCCCCAAAGAATTAGCCGCGTTCTCAATTGAGCGCTGCATGAGAGTGCATTTTTATGGCATGTTTTCGCTCTACACGCATAGGGCAGCTCATTCATTGACACACAACAAAACGCTCCTTTCCGGGCGTCGAATCTGAGCATTTGTTGCACGTTTAAAGGCGGTTTGGGATGCCTTAATAATAAATGGCACCTCAAGCAGGACACGCATTTTTTGTGTGTTCGCGGAATGCTTACATGTGAATGGTGCCCAAAGTCCCGCGGCTGAGCGTTCTACGGAATGCGTACAACGGTGGAAGTGTTGCGGCGATCGTCACAATCATGCACACAGGGAGAGGTGCAGTTCTCCATTTTGCTCCAAATTTCTGCATTGTGGTATTTTTTTTTAATTAATCTGCAGTCACCTAGAGGGGGAGGTGTAGCAGCTCTGGTGTTCAGGTTCAGCTCTCCCTGTAGTAAGAAGGCTTCATGTATCTCCTCCTTCCCCCTCCCTCAGGAATGCATCCAGTGTATGATGCTGAGAACCTGCCTAACAATTCTTTACCGAATAAGGCTTGGCTTGTCCATTGTGGGAAAAGAGTTTGAGTAAGAAGAAGTGTTTCTGGTGTGGTCAGTCAGAGAAGTGAAGACCGTCCTCAATATAACATCTATCGGACAGAAAGCAAAGGAGAATCTCACGGCAACAACGAAGCCGAGTGCGAGACCAGAAATCCCTTTTTAGCTCATCAGCCTTGAAACTGCTTAACCCCAGACATTTGACAAGTACTTATGTACCTAAACTTCTTTCTGTTATCTATTTGTTGTGCTCTGTATATTTATATATTGGTTACATCTTCTTTCGGTAAATATTTTACTGCACCCTTTCGACCTTTTGGTAATAAATCTTACCTTCTAAAAGTGTTGAACTGTTCCTATAGCTCCTGAATGTAACTTATGAGTCCCTGCTGCTGAAGAACGCTACTATGAGTATTTAACCCTCTGTATAACCAGTCTGTCGAGATAGCGGGATACTGACGGTTAACCAATCATCCTAGCGTATTGCTGAGTTTCCTCTTTCTCTGTATAAAAAGGAGGTGGTGGCAGTGTGAAGGGTTAATTGCGTAATTAACCTGAACCAGTAACAATTCAGGTTGCCAGTACATCGATTGTTCTCCAATTAACTGGAACTTCGGTGTGCAGGGTGCGGCATTGTTACACACGTAACAGCGCGGGTTTAGATTGGCTAGTCCTTCGGTCACAAGTTTGGTGAGAAGGGCTGGGGTCTGACGCTGCGCCTGTCACAGCGATCACCCCGTGTTCAGCCTGCGCAGGTTCAATAGCTGACCCCCCCAAAATATCCTTCGACCCAAACGGTGGAAGCTTCGTGCTGAGCCATGGTTGATGGCGATATAAAAGGATGAATAGAAAATGTATAAACTTATCATTTAGGGGAGGAGCGACCTTGGCGTGTAATAAAACGATCACCATATTGGATGCGAGTGGCGATTGCTGGTTGTCGTATTTCGCCGAAAAAAAAAAACGCGAAGAATATTCTGCTTTCCTCAAACTGGTAAAAAGGGAAAGTCCTGATCCCGGGACCTCTTATGCAGGAGCAAAGTGGACCAAACATGGAGGACGGCTGCCATGCCAGAGCGCACCGAAAACTTCAAAGTGGGGGTTCTGGGGGCTGGAAATGTCCGAATAATTGTTTAAAAAGTAAAATTCAAAATGTGAAATTAAGATTCAAATAATTGGCCAAAAAAGAACTTTAAAAAGGGCTCAATGAAAATAAAAGGCCAATAAAATATAGTTCCATTTTTCTTTCAATGGACGCTTGCTGAATCTTTAAAGGAACACTCCATGATGGGCTGGGGGCTACAAGGAGTGAGAAGAACCTTTCATTGTCTGCAAACTTAAATCGCAACAAGTTTCCTGAAAAGTTTCAGCTCCTTCCCAAAAGCCATTCACACAAGTCACCCCCCCCCCCCCCCAGATCAAACAACCCCCAGACACAGGGACCCCCCCCCCCCCCTCGTAGAGATAACCCCCAGACACAGGGACCCCCCTCATAGAGATAACCCCCCCCATCCAGACATAGACACAGGGACCACCACATGGCTCTATTACCCCCCTGTGTAGAGGGTTGGGGGTACACCGGCACTAATACAGAGAATGCATTGAAAACATTAGGAGCTCCAAAAGACAACTGACAGGAAGCAGCAATATGTACTGTCAGTGCTCCGGAGAAGCCCCATTAGACTGCGCAGGGTGTGGTGCAGGCCTTCTAATCGCAGCATTTGTTCGTTCAGGAGTTCGTTCTTTATTCGGAAACTGCCACGAGGCGCCCTTCTCCAACCCTGTAACAGGCTAGTCTACATTCCACCACGTGCTCCCCATTCTATGGAAGACTAGAACCTCCAACCAATCATAGTACAGCGCGGGCTCGGCTCCCTACGTTCGGAAGTTTGAAATCGCCTGCTCTTTTCACCGATTGGTTGAACCGTACTCTTTACATACCGGTTTGAAAACCCAACCAATCCAAGAGCACCATTATTCACATACTGTAAACGTCGTCAAGCCCGCTCAATTCCGACCAATGAGAGTAGAGCGCCGGGTCCTATAATACAGCGACCTGCAGCGCTTGGTATCATTCGTTTACTGCGTGGATTGAGAGAAGTTTAGTAAAGATGTCTGGAAGAGGGAAGACCACCGGCAAGACCAAGGCGAAGGCTAAGTCTCGCTCCTCCAGAGCCGGCCTGCAGTTTCCTGTCGGTAGAGTCCATAGGCTGCTTCGGAAGGGGAATTATTCGGAGCGGGTGGGTGCCGGAGCGCCGGTCTATCTGGCCGCCGTGCTGGAATATCTGACCGCTGAGATCCTGGAGTTAGCCGGCAATGCAGCCAGAGATAACAAGAAGACCAGAATTATCCCCCGCCATCTACAGCTCGCCGTCCGCAACGACGAGGAGCTCAACAAACTGCTGGGCGGGGTGACCATCGCTCAGGGCGGAGTGCTGCCCAACATCCAGGCCGTGCTACTCCCCAAGAAGAGCTCCGCGTCCGCCGCCTCCTCCGCGAAATCGTCCGGGAAGAAGAGCTCTCAGCAATCCCAGGAATACTGAGCCCCGAAGCCGATATCCCCCCTCTACTCCCCAATACAACGGCCCTTATCAGGGCCACCACTGCTTCCACAGAGAGCTCCGTACACCCGGCACTGTGTACACTACATTGCACTGCTTCCACAGAGAGCTCCGTATACCCGGCACTGTGTACACACCACTATATACATTGCACTGCTTCCACAGAGCTCTACACCCCACCTGTGTACACTAAACATGGCACTGCTTCCACAGAGCTCCTACACCACCTGTGTACACTAAACCTGGCACTGCTTCCACAGAGCTCTACACCACCTGTGTACACTAAACTGGCACTGCTTCCACAGAGCTCTACACCACCTGTGTACACTAAACATGGCACTGCTTCCACAGAGAGCTCCGTACACCCGGCACTGTGTACACCACCTATGTATACTACATTGCACTGCTTCCACAGAGCTCCGTACAGCTCCCCGGCACCGTATACACCACCTGTGTACCCTATATACATTGCACTGCTTCCCACAGCTCTACACCACCTGTGTACACTATACATGGCACTGCTTCCACAGAGAGCTCCGTACACCCGGCACCGTGTACACCACCTATGTACACTACATTGCACTGCTTCCACAGAGCTCCGTACACCCGGCACCGTATACACCACCTGTGTACACTATACATTGCACTGCTTCCACAGAGAGCTCCGTACACCCGGCACCGTGTACACCACCTATGTACACTACATTGCACTGCTTCCACAGAGCTCCGTACACCCGGCACCGTATACACCACCTGTGTACACTATACATTGCACTGCTTCCACAGAGAGCTCCGTACACCCGGCACCGTATACACCACCTGTGTACCTTACACATTGCACTGCTTCCACAGAGCTCTGTATACACCACCTGTGTACCCTATACATTGCACTGCTTCCACAGAGAGCTCCGTACATCCGGCACCGTGTACACCACCTATGTACACTACATTGCACTGCTTCCACAGAGCTCCGTATACACCACCTGTGTACACTATACATTGGACTGCTTCCACAGAGCTCTGTACACCACCTGTGTACCCTATATACATTGCACTGCTTCCACAGAGTGCTCCGTACACCCGGCACTGTATACACCACCTGTGTACCTTACACATTGCACTGCTTCCACAGAGCTCCGTATACACCACCTGTGTACCCTATACATTGCACTGCTTCCACAGAGAGCTCCATACACCCGGCACACGTGTACACCACCTGTGTACACACTATACATTGCACTGCTTCCACGGAGCTCCGTTTACACCACCTGTGTACACTATATACATTGCACTGCTTCCACAGAGAGCTCTGTACACTACCTGTGTACACTATATACATTGCACTGCTTCCATGGAGAGCTCCCAGCACCGTATACACCTGTGTACACTATATACATTGCACTGCTGCCACAGAGCTCCGTACACTATATAAATTGCACTGCTTCCACAGAGAGCTCCGTACACCTGGCACTGTGTACACTATATACATTGCACTGCTTCCACAGAGCTCCGTACACCACCAGTTTACAGTATATACATTGGACTGCTTCCACAGAGCTCCGTACACCACCTGTGTACACTATATACATGGCACTGCTTCCACAGAGAGCTCCGTACACATGGCACCGTGTACACTATATACATTGCACTGCTTCCACAGAGAGCTCCGTACACCACCTGTGTACACTATATACATTGCACTGCTTCCACAGAGAGCTCCGTACACCACCTGTGTACACTATACATTGGACTGCTTCCACAGAGCTCTGTACACCACCAGTTTACAGTATATACATTGCACTGCTTCCACAGTATATAGACTGCTCCGTACGTACCACCTGTGTACCCTATACATTGGACTGCTTCCACAGAGCTCCGTACACCACCAGTTTACAGTATATACATTGGACTGCTTCCAAAGAGAGCTCCGTACACCACCTGTGTACACTATATACATGGCACTGCTTCCACAGAGCTCCGTACACCACCTGTGTACACTATATACATTGCACTGCTTCCACAGAGCTCCGTACACTATATACATTGCACTGCTTCCACAGAGAGCTCCATACATCACCTGTGTACACTATATACATGGCACTGCTTCCACAGAGAGCTCCGTACACCACCTGTGTGCACTATACATTGGACTGCTTCCACAGAGCTCCGTACACTATATACATTGCAGTGCTTCCACAGAGAGCTTTGTACACCACCTGTGTACACTATATACATGGCACTGCTTCCACAGAGAGCTCCATACATCACCTGTGTACACTATATACATGGCACTGCTTCCACAGAGAGCTCCGTACACTATATGCATTGCACTGCTTCCACAGAGAGCTCTGTACACCCGGCATCCTATACCACATATCGTGTACACTACATTGCGCTGCTTCCACAGAGAGCTCCGTACACCTGACACCATACACACCCCACTACTGCCACCACCTCTAGAGAGTTCCATACACCCCACACTGCTGTGTACGCACCACTGCTAACACCATATATATCCACACTGCTGTGTGCACCATATATACACACCACTGCTTCCACAGAGCTCCATCCATGGGCACCATATACACCCCACACTGCTGTGTACACAGTGCACCATATACACTGCACTCTATGTACACCCAAGACCATAAACACCCCACTTCCACCATATACACCCCACTGATAACGCCATATACACATCCCTGGCACCATACACACCCTATTGCACTATGTACACCTGGCATCATATACACCCCACTACTGCCACCGCCTCCAGAGAGCTCCATACAGCCCACTTCCACCATATATACCCCACACTGCTGTCTGCACCCTACACACCCCACTGCCTCTGGAGTGCTCTGTACACCCTGCACCATACACCCCACTACTCCGCCCCGCCAGGTGTACACCAATGGAGGGGGATGTGTGGTTAAACAGGGCTGTGGTGATGAAAGCTCTACATACTACACAACACATTCCAGTGTTTATCAGATCACTACCAGGTGGGGAAGGCTTATATCAGTTTGAAGCTTCCACAGCAGATCTTTACCCTGACTGCCCCCCAATTCAGGGTGGATATACACTCAGTGACCAGTCCAGGCTTTGGGGGGGGGGGGGGGGGGGAAGTCACAGATTATACAAGTTTTTCTTTCTATTGCTCAATTTCCCCATCAAAACAGTCAGTTTTGATGGGAAAATGCCTCCCACAGCACTATTGTGTTCTTCTGGCAATAATTGCATATAAAAAATCCAACAGGCTGGTTGTACTGCAGTTGATCGATGTATCAACTGCAGTACAACCAGCATGCCTGTGGATGGATTGAATCTTGGCCGGTCCCTGCTGAACTGACAGATTTGATCCATCAATGGGCAGCTTATATCTGGGAATGGAAAAAGTGAAGGGGTAGGGGAAGTCATGAAACGAATGAATGAAGTGAGGTGGGGGAAGTCAGTGAATGGATAAGAAAAGGGAGGGGGTGCTGGTTGTTGGGGAATGGACAATAGAAAGGGAGTAGGTCTGGAAATTAGAGGAGCTCCAGTCTCTTGTGTAAAAATTAGTTACAAAACACCGGACCCTGCATTCACTATATCAGGTCTCCTACAGAGCAAGGAAGTGCAATTATTTTAGTAAATATAAACTGCTAAATACCTTTTTCTCATCAGCAGTATATAGCAGTCTTGTGACTTCTCCGTGTACAGCAGATCACTTGTTTCAGCTTGGAGGAGTTTTCATTCTCCTGTAGGAGGATGCAGGACCCCTGACCTCTGTCTGGAGTGTGCTTATTTGATTGGCCATGTGCTGATCATATGCACTCTCCCAAGAAAAAAAAAAAACTAGCAATACACACCAAACTGAGCATGTGCCCCTGAGCCTCTGTTTTATCAGTAAATATTCAGGAGACCCTGGAAGAAGGGGAGGATCAGAGAAGCCAGGATCAAACATCCTTTTTGCACAATGCAAAGGATTAACCCCTTAGGTTCCACAGTGAGTATAACAAGCATGCTTTACTGCATATACAGATTGATTTTACTGTGAATTTAGTAACACTAAGCTAAACAAACTAGTTGCTGACTTTTAATAAAAAAACGACTGACCTCTCCCATGATCCAGCAATGTGCTCATCACCCCAGCTGTTTTCCATCTGTCTATCCCTGGTGGTGGCATCTTAACTGTGGACACCTGGCTGTGACTGCTTGTAGCATCACAGTTGGGTGCCCACTGTGCACGAGCCAAGCTGAGCATTGTGAATGGGCCCGTAGTCTTCTTGGACCTGTTATGTTTCCCTGACGACTGGGGAGTGGGTTCCTGTCAAAATCAGGTATCCACTCCTCCCCCCCTCCCCGAAAATTGCCATTTCACAAATGTGGGAGGATGCCTTAAAGCGGAACTTCCACTTTTGGGTGGAGCTCTGCTTTAACTAGTATGGGAAAGTCAGGAAGTGAACGAGGGGATGGGTGAGAGGACAGAGAAAGTCGGGTAATAGTTAGGTCCATATATATTTGGACACAGGAACAATTTTCATACTTTTGGCTCTGTATGCCGCCAGCATAAATTAAAACGAAACAATCCAAATGGATTTGAAGTGCAGACTTTCAGCTTTAATTCAAGGGGTTGAACATAAATATCAAATACAAATTTTAGGAACTGCAGCCATTTTTATACACAGTCCCTCCATTTTCAGAGGCTCAAATGTAATTGGGCAAATGAATATAATCAAATAAAATGTTCATTTTTAATATTTTGTTGAGAATCCTTTACTGGCAATGACTGCCTGAAGTCTGGAACCCATGGACATTACCAAAGACTGGGTTTCCTCCTTTCTGATGCTTTGCCAGGCTCTAACTGCAGCTGTCTTCATTTGTTCTTTGTGGCTCTTTCTGCCTTTGGTTTTGTCTTCAGCAAGTGAAAATGCATGCTCAATTGGGATGAGATCAGGTGATTAACTCGGCCATTGCAGAATATTCCAAGGACTCACTAACGACCTGCTAACCACCAAAGCGAATGGCCACTACTCAGTCCTCCTACTCCTCGACCTCTCCGCGGCCTTCGACACAGTCGACCACCCCCTCCTCCTTACTAAACCACACTCCCTTGGCTTTAGGGACTCTGCTCTCTCCTGGTTCTCCTCTTACCTATCCCAACACTCCTTCAGTGTTACCTATAACGCTGCCACCTCCCCCTCTTTGTTGGGGTCCCCCAAGGCTCTGTCCTCGGACACCTCTTCATCTACACCTCCTCCCTTGGCAAACTGATACACTCCCACGGCTTCAACTATCATCTCTATGCCGATGACACGCAAATTTACCTTTACCTCACCCCCTCACTCACTCTCCGCCCCGCATCACCCACCTCCTAAACGACATAGACTGGATGTCGCTCCATTTCCTCAAGTTAAACCTTTCCAAAACCAAGCTCCTAGTTTTCCCCCCAGCCTGCGCCCCCCCCCCCCCCCCCATCCTCTCCATCATGACTAACAATGCCACCATCAATCCCCCCCACACGCCAAAGTTCTAGGTGTCACTCTAGACTCAAACCTTTCCTTCCAACCTCATGTCCAATCACTATCAAATTCATGCAGGCTCCACCTCTGCAACATCTCCAAGATACGTATGTTCCTCACCCCAGACACCACTAAACAACTCGTACACTCCCTTATCTCATGCCAGGACTTCACCCATCCTCTGGAACTCGCTACCCCAATCCATCAGACTGTCACCTACCCTCCTCACCTTCAGGCGCATCCTGAAAACCCTTCTCTTCAGGGAAGCCTACCCCACCCTCACCTAACAGCTGTTCTCCTCTCCTCCTACCACTCCATCCCCCACAGCCACTTCCTCCTGTACCTCTACTCCCTCCCTCCTAGATTGTAAGCTCGAAAAAGCAGGGCCCTCGAACCCCTCGTGTATTGTTGTTTTGTTACGGTATTGTCCCCCCACTTTAATGTACAGCGCTGAGCAAACCTTTTGGCGCTATATAAACACTGAATAATAATAATAATCCACTTTTTCCTTCAAAAACTCCTGGGTTGCTTTTGCAGTGTGCTTTGGATCATTGTCCATCTGTACTGTGAGGCACCGTCCAATCAACTTTTCTGCATTGGCTGAATCTGGGCTGACAGTATATCCCTAATGACCCAGTGCCACTTGTAGTTTCATCCATCCAAAGAATGCTTTTCCAGAACTGGGGGGTGGAGGAAGTCAGGGATTGAATAAGTGAAGGGAGCTGGGGAAGTCAGAAAATGGGGGGGGGGGGGGGGAGTGGAGGTAGAGGAAGACAGGGAATGAAGTCAGGGAATAGATAAGGTGAGGGGGCAGGGGAAATTGGGGAATAGAGAAGGGGCAAGGTGGGGAAAGTCAGGGAAGGGATAAGGTGAGGGGGCAGGGAAAGTCAGTAAATGGATGAGAAAACGCAGTGAGGGAATGGATGGGGGGGGGGGGGGGGGGGGAGGGGAGGTTGATGGGGTCAGGGAATGGAAAAGGGGGTGGGGGTAGAGGACATCAGTGAATTGATAGGGGATAGGAAGCCAAGGAATGAATGAGGGGGGGGGGAGAAGAAGTAAGGGAATGACCAAGTGCAGAGGGTAAAGAAAGTCTGGGAATGGACAAGGGAAAGGAGAAATGGTGACATCAGGGCATGGATGAACTATGTGGAATAGAGGGATTCAGGGAATAGAGACAGGAAGGTGGGAAGGGAAGTCAGGAAATGTGAGGTTGGAGGGGGGGGGGAGAATTACTCTCTGAGATCCCATTAATTTTCAGTGGAATAGAAATACAAATGCAGTGCAGCACACCATAACATACTACTGTGCGTTGGGGTGCACTGCAAAGGAAAGGTGTTTGTCCAACTGAATATGCTGCCTTAGGTGTGAATGAGCCCTACAATTGGAAGATAGATCTGCTACAAACAGATTCTACAAAGGCCTGGTAAAGGTCAGAACATATTGCAGACTGCAAACTCCAACGCATGCATTGGTGTGCGCTGCAGCCCAACTCTGCACAAAAAAGGGTTGTTTACATTTTAGCACAATACAACATTTCATATAAATTCCTATCAGCAGTGAAAGGGAAGGGAAATCTCATAGATGAACACTTGGAATGGAATGGGGAGGGGTTATCACTTGTGGCAATGTTTTCATTGTGCTTTGTGTCTTCCTGTCCTAGTGACACCTTTTCCCCTTGTGTTCATAAGCCTGATTGAAATGGTGAATGTGGAAGTCCTGGGGGCAAGACAAAAGTTGTTTTAAAAAAGCTCTGCAGACCTTTATTTAACAAAAAGACATGGAGCCACATTTTTTTTTTTTGAATAGAATATACACGGTTAAAACAAAATAGATGGCAGAAAAATGTTATCTGGATTTGTATGTAGACCAGTGTTTCTCAACCTTTTTTCAGTCAAGGCACCCTTTAAAATCATGGACAGTCTTGAAGCACCCCATTCTAAAATGTGAAAAACTATTCTAATAGTTTTATATAATGCAGCAACATCCACACGCGGAGGACACCCAACATTAGAGGTGATTTATCCTTCCAAAGCAAATACACTTTTGCACACTGGTACCGACTAGTATACCATTGTTTCTCTTCTCCCTCACTGAGCTAATGTGACCCCAGCACTGATTGAGAGGGGCAGGGGAGGGTCAAACTAGGATGCCACGCGCTCCCGGAGCCGCGCATGCGCAGTTAGAATGGGGAGGACGTCATAGGACTCCCTCCCAGAACGAGAGAACCGCCTTGCGCCCGTCATTGTACTATATGGCAGGTGGGAGGCGGTTTAAAAACAGACAACTAGATTGACAAAGGGCATGGTGAGGGTCTAAATGACAATGAATGGTTACAAAAACTGGCTAGCTTTGCTCAGGATAAACAAACAAAATCTGATGAAAATGATGCATAGTCTGGGTAATTCAGATGTATTTATTAAAAATGTACTACATAGTCACAGTTTGCTTTTCTCTGTTGATTACAATTATAGAAATTTGCATGACAAAATATTTATTACATCAAGGCACCATAATCATAGCACACTGAACATACTTAATCAAGTTTAGAAAATTGTATTTCTAAAAAAAATGTGTAAATAAATGGAACACAGGGCTCACGCATATGGCACATTTGTAAACGTATGCTATGCCTTTTTTGAGCTGCATTCATTGCTCACTGAAAATAACAAATGAGGTATTTTTAATACGTTAAAGCCCAAAGTTCAGTCAAAACTTTTTTTTTTTTTTTTTTTTTTTTTTTTTAAGTGTGGACACAGTAAGAAAGAAATAGAACCTTCATCAGTTTTTATCTGTAGTCTTTTGTACCCACTGGGGAGGTTTCCCTTTACTTTTTGGGGGGTAGGATTTCCCTCCAGTGGGGATGTAGTCTGTCAGTACACTATCAGTAAAATTGGAAAGGGTTAAAACTAGGGATGCACCGAAATTTCGGTTGTCGAATTGTTTCGGCCGAAATCAGCCCCATCGGCACGATACAGGTGCCGAAAATGTCCTTTGGCCAGTGCAGTAGAAGAGAGGAGAGAGAGAGTAGGTGCCACTGCATCTTGGTTCTGTCCTGTTCGGTTCTCACCGGGGGACAGATGTGGGTCGCGCTTCACCCTCCTCCTACTGATGCCTTGTTAGTGGCCACGCTGCTTGATGGACCGAGCTGGGGTGCTTTTAAGTCTACTACACGGTGAGGGGTGTAGGCTGTGCATTCACTGGTTTTAGGAGAGCATAAAATGGGTGTCAGGAGACGCAGGCTGTGTACGGGATGGGTGTCAGGACGAGGGTTGTGTACGGGATGGGCGTCAGGGGACGAGGGTTGTGTACGGGATGGGCGTCAGGGGACGAGGGTTGTGTACGGGATGGGCGTCAGGGGACGAGGGTTGTGTACGGGATGGGCGTCAGGGGACGAGGGTTGTGTACGGGATGGGCGTCAGGGGACGAGGGTTGTGTACGGGATGGGCGTCAGGGGACGAGGGTTGTGTACGGGATGGGCGTCAGGGGACGAGGGTTGTGTACGGGATGGGCGTCAGGGGACGAGGGTTGTGTACGGGATGGGCGTCAGGGGACGAGGGTTGTGTACGGGATGGGTGTCAGGGGATGCAGGCTGTGTACGGGATGGGTGTCAGGAGACGCAGGTTGTGTACGGGATGGGTGTCAGGAGACGCAGGTTGTGTACGGGATGGGTGTCAGGTGCACATGCTGTGCATGGGATGGGTGTCAGGGGGCGCAGGCTGTGCATGGGATGGGTGTCAGGGGGCGCAGGTTGTGCTTGGGATGGGTGTCAGGGGGCGCAGGTTGTGCATGGGATGAGTGTAAGGGGGCGCAGGCTGTGCATGGGATGGGTGTCAGGGGGCGCAGGCTGTGCTTGGGATGGGTGTCAGGGGACGCAGGCTGTGTATGGGATGGGTGTCAGGGGGCGCAGGCTGTGTATGGAATGGCTGTCAGGTGGCACAAAAAAAAAAAAAAAGCTTTAAAAGGTGTATTTATCTTTTCCAAGTCAATTCAAATCTTACAAAAAAAAAACAGCTAAATTTGGACTTTAACTAAACCCTATGAAAAAAAGCAAATTACAGAAAAAGCACACAGTGAAGTCTGAGTACTTTGCTTCATTGTCAGTACGTCCTTACAGTACTTTCAATCTGTGATCACACTATGATCCACATACCATATGCATGAACTCTATATCTGAATATACATTCTCTAGATGGTTGGTGGTTTTGAGATAACCAAAACCTACATGAAATAACTGGTATAAAAAGTCAAATGCTTTAGTAATGCAAGTGGTTTTATATATCTGAAATACAGTTTAAAGCGGAATTCCATATATGGCATTTTTTACATCGTTACATTGGTCCTTCATGTATCATACCTGGCCAGTCCTCCTGGAAGCTGCAAATCATTGCTACTACAATGATTTCCAGTAGCTTCTGGGTCCCATGCTGAGCAACTGCCCTGCAAAGCATTCTCTGATTGGACCAAATTGGGAGAGGTGGGGCAATGACATCACAATCTCCACCTCACCCACCACAGAATGCTATGTATAGTTATATTGGTCCAAGCTGGACCTATAGAACTATGTAAAAATATCTATACCAGGAATTCATCTTTAATAACTGATCAAAACAGGAAAATGCATTACCAAGTCACAAGAAATGTGTGTAAAGTGAACCCGTCCTGAGAAAAAAATGACAAAAACTAGTATTAGCATGGAAGAGCATGTACTATATGGTGCCCTTACGTATCTTTCTGGTTTGTGTAAATGCTGTCCCAGAGTAGCCTGGGATGTGGGCTATATAGAACTGCAAACATTTATCCAATGCAGTGCTTTAGAATAGGGAAGACAGGAATGGTACATGGTGATTGCTGTTCTTTGCACCTCTGTTTATAAATATTTTCTGAGGGTAATTTCATGTTAAGAGCACTCAGTAGCAGCACACAGTTAAAAGAATACTACTGCTTAACTAAAACATTCTTTTTTTTGTCAAAATAATTAAATTAGATATTTCTACAGGTGATCAAAAATATTGTTTTTGCCTTGAGACAATCTTGACACCTCAAAAACCTCACCCTCTGCATTACTCTTACTGTGGTATCACTGTCTGGAGAATTTCAAAAAGACTTAATAGTAATCCAGTTCCACAGGAGGTCTACAAATACAAACCCAATGTCTAATTCTCAAAGCAGTGATGCATGGGAAAAAAAAAAAAAAAGAGGATGGAGAAAAACAGAGTAGACAATGTCTTTTAAGGATATCCATGTCCCAGAACTGAAGAGGCACATATTCTTGAACTGTAGTGATATACTATTATCTGGCATCATTTAGCTGTCTAGCCACAGTCAGGATCTCTTTGGCCCCTTTGTTTAGTAACAGGTCCGCTAGACCTGTTCCTAACGTTTCAGCAGCTTCCAGAGCTTTATGAGGTACTCCAACTGCCGTGATACCCACATGTTGGGCATCATCATCTGGACATTCACCTTCCTGTAAGTGAAACATACATGTGTGGTTTAGTCAGTAGTCATTACTGTACACAATTATAATTTGCAGATTATCACTGAGCTTTGTTAGCATTTTATATTAAAAGCTAAAGAAGTCAACGTGTATTAAACATTTAAAAAGTGTACTTTGTAAATAAACATAAAAGTCTTCCTCATCAGTTCAGAGAACCCTCCTATGCCTCCACAGAATTACTTAAAAGACACATTTTCATATAGGAAATCGCTGTGACTTCTTTGACTAAAAAAAAAAAAAGAATGTAAAGGTTTCTATTCAGGATAACAGAGCATAAAACGTTAAGGAAAATTTAAACAATGGCTTAGTCATTTACATTGAATACCTTGAAAAGGAAATTATAGTGGTGGTACATATTTTACAGGTGAAACTTGAAAAATTAGAATATCGTGCAAAAATTCATTTATTTCAGTAATGCAACTTAAAAGGTGAAACTAATATATGAGAGAGACTCATTACATGCAAAGCAAGATAGTTCAAGCCGTGATTTGTTACAATTGTGATGATTATGGCTTACAGCTCATGAAAACCCCAAATCCACAATCTCAGAAAATTAGAATATTGTGAAAAGGTGAAAAATATTCTAGGCTCAAAGTGTCCCACTATAATCAGCTAATTAAATCCCAACACCTGCGAAGGGTTCCTGAGCCTTTAAATGGTCTCTCAGTCTGGTTCAGTAGGAATCACAATCATGGGAAAGACTGCTAACCTGATAGTTGTGCAGAAAACCATCATTGTCACCCTCCATAAGGAGGGAAAGCCTCAAAAGGTAATTTCAAAAGAAGTTTGATGTTCCCAAAGCGCTGTAACAATGCACATTAATAGAAAGTTATGTGGAAGGGAAAAGTGTGGAAGAAAAAGGTGCACAAGCAGCAGGGATGACCGCAGCCTGGAGAGGATTGTCAGGAAAAGGCCATTCAAAAGTGTTGGGGACTATCACAAGGAGTGGACTGAGGCTGGAGTCAGTGCATCAAGACCCACCACACACAGACGGATCCTGGACATGGGCTTCAAATGTCGTATTCCTCTTGTCAAGCTGCTCCTGAACAACAAACGTCAGAAGCGTCTTACCTGGGCTAAAGAAAAACATACCTGGTCTGTTGCTCAGTGGTCCAAAGTCCTCTTTTCTGATGAGAGCAACTTTTGCATCTCATTTGGAAACCAAGGACCCAGAGTATGGAGGAAGAATGGAGAGGCACACACTGCAAGATGCTTAAAGTCCAGTGTGAAGTTTCCACAGTCTGTGTAGATTTGGGGAGCCATGTCATCTGCTGGTGTTGGTCCACTGTGCTTCATTAAGTCCAGGGTCAACGTAGCCGTCTACCAGGAGATTTTGGAGCACTTCATGCTTCCTTCCGCAGACTAGCTTTATGGGGATGCTGACTTTATTTTCCAGCAGGACTTGGCACCTGCCCACACTGCCAAAAGCACCAAAACCTGGTTCAATGACCGTGGGATTACTGTGCTGGATTGGCCAGCAAACTCACCTCACCTGAACCCCATAGAGAATCTATGAGGCATTGCCAAGAGAAAGATGACAGACATGAGACTGACGGCTCACGGCTTGAACTATCTTGCTTTGCATGTAATGAGTCTATCTCATATATTAGTTTCACCTTTTAAGTTGCATTACTGAAATAAATGAACTTTTGCACGATATTCTAATTTTTTGAGTTTCACCTGTATTTATATATTTTGATCAAGGCAAATTAAAAACACTATTTTTCATTCCTACACAGTATTCAGGTATAACATTTTGTATATTATTATTATGTTTTCTGTTCAGACAGAAGGTGGAGCTCTATTTTTCTTTTCTCATTTACATTGGTATCTCATTCTCAGCTTTAGGGAAAAAATGTCCAGTGCTGGTGAAAGTGAATGGGGTCAATTTATATAACATAGATCAGCCTTTCTCAACCTGGAGCCCAGAGAAGGGTTTCTTAATTGGTCAGGTCTCAGGAAACCCCTGCTAGAGCAAATCATTGGGGGTCAGTGGGACAAATGAACCTTACAACCATGGCCAGAATGTCACTCTAACAGACAGCTCAAAGATCACTGGTGTCATGCAGCGGACTCTGCCAAGTGGCACTGATCCTGAAACAATGTGGGAACTGTCAAAACAGGAGGTAAGTCATCCACAGCTCAAGGAACCCCTAGCAACCTCTAGAGCAGTGGTTCTCAACCTTTCTAACGCCGCGACCCCTTAATACAGTTCCTCATGTTGTGGTGACCCCCAACCATAAAATTATTTTCGTTGCTACTTCAGAACTGTAATTTTGCAGTGGGAGGAATAGTGCCCCATCATTGGTATCAGTGGGAGGAATAGCGCCCCATCACTGATGTCAGGGGGAGGAATAGCGCCCCATCGTTGGTGTCAGTGGGGGGAGGAATAGCGCCCCATCGTTGGTGTCAGTGGGGGGAGGAATAGCGCCCCATCGTTGGTGTCAGTGGGGGGAGGAATAGCGCCCCATCGTTGGTGTCAGTGGGGGGAGGAATAGCGCCCCATCGTTTGGTGTCAGTGGGGGGAGGAATAGCGCCCCATCGTTGGTGTCAGTGGGGGGGAATAGCGCCCCATCGTTGGTGTCAGTGGGGGGAGGAATAGCGCCCCATCGTTGGTGTCAGTGGGGGGAGGAATAGCGCCCCATCGTTGGTGTCAGTGGGGGGAGGAATAGCGCCCCATCGTTGGTGTCAGTGGGGGGAGGAATAGCGCCCCATCGTTGGTGTCAGTGGGGGGAGGAATAGCGCCCCATCGTTGGTGTCAGTGGGGGGAGGAATAGCGCCCCATCGTTGGTGTCAGTGGGGGGAGGAATAGCGCCCCATCGTTGGTGTCAGTGGGGGGAGGAATAGCGCCCCATCGTTGGTGTCAGTGGGGGGAGGAATAGCGCCCCATCGTTGGTGTCAGTGGGGGGAGGAATAGCGCCCCATCGTTGGTGTCAGTGGGGGGAGGAATAGCGCCCCATCGTTGGTGTCAGTGGGGGGAGGAATAGCGCCCCATCGTTGGTGTCAGTGGGGGGAGGAATAGTGCCCCATCGTTGGTATTAGTGACACAAATGATGGGGCACTATTCCTCCCACTGACACCAATGATACTTAGCTTGCTGACCCCTGCTCCAGCCTGGGCTCGCTCTCTCCCTCTCCCATCTACAGCCTGCAGAAGCAAAATTTGCACTTACCTGTCAGCTGTCTTCCTTCTCTGGCCTCTCTCCTCTTCACTCGGTCTTGCAGCTCCCTCGATCTTCTTCGATCTGCCGCTCGGCTCCTCCTCTCCAAGCTCCACCTCCTCGCCGGTGATTGGCCGCCTGTGTGCCTCTCCTGAGCTACAGTTCCGGTGGCCAATCAGCGGCGAGGAGGCGGAGCTGTTGAGTGATCCCGGAGGTGTGGCCAGGTTACAGGGGCAGCATATCATCCCGCCCACAGATCGCGAGACAGAGCAGCGGTGTCTCGGTTCCTAAGACCATCGGAAATATGTGTTTTCCGATGGTCTTAGGCGACCCCTGGGAAATGGTCGTTCGACCCCCAAAGGGGTCGCGACCCCCAGGTTGAGAACCGCTGCTCTAGAGGAACTCTAGTTGAGAATGGCTAACACAGACTGTCCACTTAGGAAAGTGAATATTGACTAAGTTTAGTAAATAAGAAGCTGTTTATTTCAATGATCCAATTGTGTGCTAGCAAAAGTCCACATTTTATTTTTTTTATTTTTTTAGAAAAGGAAAAAAAATAAATCTACACACATTCCAAATAATTCTTTATCATTGTGGTTTGTGGTACCTATTTTTTGCATTGACTAAAGTTTTCTTATGTGTAGTCCTTGTATGTTTAATACATTTTTAGGGCAGCAGTAAACCTGTTTATCCATGCCCTCACCTCATTTCGGAAAACAACACATGTCTGCATTGTCTCTTTAAGGCATTCTGAACCATCAAGGCTGTAGACCGCTCCAGTTAAATACAGCTGCATAACAGAAACAACAAAAGTTTACAAAGTATCTGATCATCAAACACAAAAAAATATAAAACCTTCAACCTGAAACAGAACAAAGGAGAGTCAAGATTTTGAATCCCCACTCATAATTCATTACCTGGGAGTCTTGTAAAACTGTACTCACAGCTACAGGCACACTGCAACCACCCTCCTATAAGAAAATAATATATCTTGTATTAAATACTAATCACGTTGTTTTATATGTTTGCATGGCAAGTCAGCTTTCTGCATTTTTTTCAGCTTCTTCCTCTGCCTGGTTTCTACTTCTGTGTCCCCATTGGGGAAATTCAGTCTCCTGATCTGCCCTGGTGACCAATGTGAGTGAAACAAAAAATGAGGGGAAATCTAAGATATAACATGTCACCAGAACAGGAGTAGATGAGAAATCTTGTAATGGACACACCATTTCTGTGGAATTACTCTTATTTACTCTGTTATGTTTACAGGCCAGAAAGTGAAGGCAACTCTCACCAATGAGGTAAAAGAAGATATAAAACCCTCACAAAGGTTCTTACCGATACCTACTCTATCCAAAACGAGAAGAATAATGGCTGGATTTCCATATCAAGCCACTATATTTTCTCAAAATTCTTCCACGTTCTTTTAGGTAAAGCTGGCCACAAACTCATCTCTGTACAGTCTACTTTAGATTATGCAGCAACTACACAATCTGTATTTGGTCAGGTAGGCCTTTGCGCTATATAGTTGTTGACAAATCTTGGGTAGATTACACAAAGAGACTTAAAAAAATCTATATATATGTTAAGCATAAAATCAAACGCTCCAATTCTTTCAGCTACAGGAATACTAAATGTGTATGTAACTCTTTATTCATTATACTATGCTATGCAGAGCAATACAAAGCAGTGTGCAGGAGCTGACAGGGGAGAGATCTGTATTGTTTACATACAGACCTCTCCCCCTGTCAGTGATACTCAGTGATCGCCGGGTGCCAGCAGGGAATTACCAGCCGGGACCCAGCGATCAACAGCTGAGGCCACCAATGGTGGCGCACGCGCCCCCTACCCGGAAATGTGAAATCATGTATATTCAGTATTTCTGCTATAGGGTGGTGGGCAAGTGGTTAAACTTTAAAAAAAAACAATTGTTCTCTATGGTGCCTGTTCACACCTGATTGCGTGAACAGGCACCATAGAGAACAATTGATTTTCTAAGTTTGAGCATCTTTGGAGATTCAAACTTTGACCTTCAGGCTACAAAATGCTCAAGTGTGAATGCAGCCTTAATGTGTTCCCCTTACCAGTCGCCTCATGAAAGCTCTTTCAGCGATACAGCGTAAAACAGTCTGAGGATCCTGAAGGGCAGACACCATGTTCAAGATATGCTGGTCCTTGGCTCTAACCTCCACAGCCAAGGCTCCCTACAGAGAAATGCACGATTACTACATGCTATATACCTGAATGACACAATTAAACAGATTTCTATTTAAAAAGGCCAAAAAGTAAGAGACTGTCTGTATGCAAATGCTTACCTGACCCACTGCATAGAGGCACTCTTCGGGTGAAAGGATCTACAAGAAGAGAAAATATACATTTAAGCAGGCTGAACAGCTGTCCTGTAAGTACTGTGTACTAAACCCCATTGGGCTCAAAGTGTATCTATGGGTAAAAACAAAAAGAAAACATATCTTACAGAACATACAATGGGTTGTACACTGTCCCTGTGTGACTTCTAATTTAATAAAACATCCAGCAATTCTGTCAAAAACACACATCTCATCTCCTTTAGAACAGGTGTCAGCACTGGCACAATGTAATGGCTTTTATTTAACCCTTTCACGCCTAAGGGTAAAAAAAATCTAAATGCCTAAGCACAATTCTGCAACGTTGACATGTGATAGTAAAACCGTACATATCACCACAACTACTTTGTACATCCGGGTGGATTATACCTTGATTTTTTTTCAGGACAAATTGGGCTTTCATTTGGTGGTAAATGGTAATGGATATCTCCTGATTTTTTTAATTATCAAAGGAAAACTGTCCCAAAATAGTAAAAAAAAAAAAAAATCTTTTTTCTTTTATTTAGCTGTGTGTTTCTTGTTACGACTATAACCTACCACCAAAGAACAACCCAAAATAAATTCTCCAGTTCTTGACGATCGCAGCAATACCATATATGTGTATGTTATTTGTTGTTTGTACCTGCAGTACAGCCCAGAAACAATAGTGTTCATTTTGTTTTGTGTTTTACCTAAAACACACTGACATTAACACTAATTGACACTCATACCAATTTTTTTTTTTTTTTTTAAAATCCTGACCTTTGACCCTGACCTTGACCCAAACACTAACCCTGGCACTGAACTAGATCAAACCTTGATCTGGGTATTTTTCTTTATTTTTTTTTTTTTTTAACATTTATCTTTTTTTTTTTTTTTTTTTATTACAAACATTTTTTTTTCTCTCTATGCCAGGAGTTAGAGCGATACAATGTATCTCTCTTCTAGATTCATAGAGAGAGAGAAAAAAGCAAGGGGGCCGGGCAGTACAGTGACTGATCACTGTGATAGCCAATCAGAGGCTATCACAGCGATCATGTGACCCGGAATCGGGAGTCCCGGGTCCCGACCGGGGCTCTCAGTGACACCGCGGTCTCAGTGCTGGGAGCGCGCTGAGCGGCACGCTCCCAGCACAAAGACAGGTACGCAAATATGCGGCCCAACAGAAAAAAAAAAACCCAGTTCTGTGAGGCCGCATATTTGTGTGACGTCGGCGTCAAGGGGTTCAACAACCACTGCCCCTTGGTGTATCTGAAGCCAAAGGAGAGTGACTGGCTTGGTCAATCATTCCTTTTCCCATAAATGGCTCCACTTCTCAGCAGGGGTAAAGGGAAGGAAAGTATGTCCATGTTCAGTATTAATGCTGCTAACATCCATTGCCTGTGTTGCAGATACTATCACAACAGGTCCTAAGCAGCAACTATTTTCAAGAAAAGATGATGTCTCACTGCCTACTGTTCTTAGTCACGTGTCTGCCTGACTATGCCCATTCTCATAGGCTAGGTTTAGACATGTGTCTAAACCGCCACTTCTCTGAAAGGCGATCTGCGTTCAGATTGCTTTTCAGAGGCATTTGGCAGGCGGTGGGGAGGCGATATGATGCCTACTCACCACCTGTTTTAACCCCCTGTACTAACATGATGTAACCATGTGCACTGCATAGTTGCGGGGTGTTTGCAGAGCTTCCCATTTCACTTGAATGGGTCGCACTCGGTGGGCTTGCTGCCCGCTGAGCGTAACATGACCGAAGTTTTGCATCGCGACAATGGTATCCCTATTTGTTGCCTTTGCACCTTTGGGGGTGGGAGGCAAAAAAACTGGCTCAACCATGCATTTTTAATGGCCACCAACCCCAAACAAATAACTATATAAAAACAAGAAATCTTGTCAATTTGTGTGTGATTTGTAGTAATGCAGGCACGGGTCACTGTAGACAGGGAGACATTTAGTGCTGTGGATTTTGTAGGGTGCAGGCCCGAAAGACGCAAACTGAGTAAGAGGCGTCTGTAAGTTGGGGAGAGATATATGTTGTGAGGTCAAATATAGTAAAATATCATCTATGAAAAGGGTGTTTTGTTTTTTTTTTTGCCGGAAGCCGGCTATTTCTAAACCTTTGATATCAGGGTGAGATCGGATTAGAGCGGCAAGGGGCTCGAGTGCTAATATAAAGAGAAGGGGGGAGAAAGGGCACCCTTGGCGGCCCCCCCCTCCCTTTATGGGGAGCAAGGGGGTTTGTATCCAATGGTTCTGGATCGTAGCTGCAGGAACACTATATGGTATAAGGCTGAAATCCACTTCAAAAATTCATCCCTCATACTAGCGCTGTAGGGCCAAACGTAAATAGGTCCATGATAACGCGTTGAACGCTTTATTCATGTCCAATGAAAGAAGCATCAATTCTTGGGAGTGACTGCTGGCTAAGTGGCTAAGCAATAGTGTACAACGTACGTGGTCAGGGTCTGTGGGGTGAGCTATCTCCTCAGCAGGGACTGCATTTCAGAATAATGAAACTCCAAGAGAGGTCTCACTTTGTACCTGGCAACTATATATAATTACAGTGGGGATCGAAAGTTTGGGCACCCCAGCTAAACATTTGTATTAGGGCTCGTTCACACTAGGCTGTTTTGCCAACGCTTGCCAAACGCCCCTATAGCGTTTGGCAAGCGTTGGTCCGGTGTTTGCGGAGCGTTTTTAACGCTCGGCAAACGCTCCGCAAACGCCGCATGCGCGGTTTAGCGGCGGTTGCTAGGCGTTTGCCGAGCGTTAATAACACCCCACAAACGCCTATAATGCATTTGAGTGGTGTTACCGCTCCGCAAACGCCCCGCAACCGCGTCGCAACCGCACCGCAAACGCCGGCCGGGCGTTTGCGGAGCGGCACCATAGACGAGAATAGGAGGCTTCAAAGCCTCCTGACTCGACCGGAGGCGTCCGTTTTGGCGCGACGCAATGCAAACGCTCCTGTTAGAACAGCAGCATGTGCTGTAATGTGCAGAGTTGGCAGAGGCGTTTGGGAAGCGGTAAAAACGCTTCCCAAACGCCTCTCTGCCGCCTGCACACAAGGCTAGTGTGAACGTAGCCTTAATGTGCATAAAGAAGCCAAGGAAAGATGGAAAAATCTCCAAAAGGCATCAAATTACAGATTAGACATTCTTATAATATGTCAACAAAAGTTAGATTTTATTTCCATCATTTACACTTTCAAAATAACAGAAAACAAAAAAATGTAATCTGCAAAAGTTTGGGCACCCTGCAGAATTTATAGCATGCACTGCCCCCTTTGCAAAGCTGAGACCTGCCAGTGTCATGGATTGTTCTCAATCATCGTCTGGGAAGACCAGGTGATGTCAATCTCAAAGGTTTTAAATGCCCAGACTCATCTGACCTTGCCCCAACAATCAGCACCATGGGTTCTTCTAAGCAGTTGTCTAGAAAACTGAAACTGAAAATAGTTGACGCTCACAAAGCTGGAGAAGGCTATAAGAAGATAGCAAAGCGTTTTCAGATGTCAATATCCTTCGGAATGTAATTAAGAAATGGCAATCATCAGGAACAGTGGAAGTTAAAGCAAGATCTGGAAGACCAAGAAAATTATCAGACAGAACAGCTCGCAGGATTGTGAAAAAACAATTCAAAACCCACGTTTGACTGCACAATCCCTCCAGAAAGATCTGGCAGACACTGGAGTTGTGGTACACTATTCCACTATAAAGAGATACTTGTACAAATATGGTCTTCATGGAAGAGTCATCAGAAGAAAACCTCTTCTACGTTCTCACCACAAAAATCATCGTTTGAACTTTGCAAATGAACATATAGACAAGCCTGATGCATTTTGGAAACAAGTTCTGTGGACCAATGAGGTTAAAATTGAACTTTTTGGCCGGAATGAGCAAAGGTACGTTTGGAGAAGAAGGGGCACAGAATTTAATGAAAACAAACCTCTGTCCAACTGTTAAGCATGGGGTTGGATCAATCATGCTTTGGGGTTGTGTTGCAGCCAGTGGCACAGGGAACATCTCACGAGTAGAAGGAAAAATGGATTCAATAAAATTTCAGCAAATTTTGGATGGTAACTTGATGCCATCTGTGAAAAAGCTGAAGTTAAAGAGAGGATGGCTTCTACAAATGGATAATGTTCCTAAACACACCTCGAAATCCACGGGGGATTACATCAAGAGGCGTAAACTGAAGGTTTTGCCATGGCCTTCACAATCTCCTGACCTCAACATAATTGAAAATCTATGGAAAGACCTTAAAAGAGCAGTGTGTGACAGACAGCCCAGAAATCTCAAAGAACTGGAAGACTTTTGTAAGGAACAATGGGAAAGATACCTCAAACAAGAATTGAAAGACTCTTGGCTGGCCACAAAAAGAGTTTACAAGCTGTGACACTTGCCAAAGGGGGGGCAGTACAAGATATTAACTCTGCAGGGTGCCCAAACTTTTGCAGATGCCATTTTTTTGTTTTAGGTTATTTTGAAAGTGTAAATGATGGAAATAAAATCTAACTTTTTTGACATATTATAAGAATGTCTAATCTGTAATTTGATGCCTTTTGGAGATTTTTCCATCTTTCCTTGGCTTCTTTATGCACATTAATACAAATGTTTAGCTGGGGTGCCCAAACTTTCGATCCCCACTGTATGCTTCATTCACTCTAGTTTCTGGTGAGTGCATGGTGATGGTGGATTGCACTGAAGATTTGCACTATTGGGAATAGTTAGCTAAGTTTGAAGTGAATTCAATTGGACTGTCCTTTTGTATATCAACTTCTAATATTATATGTGGACTGATTACATTTAATATTTAGAATTTATTATACTTATTTAATCACCATGAATTATGCAGTTTTATTTATTTAATTAGCATTCAGCCCTTTAGTCACTATATTGGGCGTAACACATATATAGATTGTTATTTTGACTCACTGGTTACTGGTTTTAGGTTATATATTTTGTCACAGATACATATTTATACTCATATTTTATTATTATATTACATATGTTGTCGGCTGCTTGACGGTGGGGCACGAAGCCTACTTGGTCTTTGTGGATTACCTTTGTTATTATATGGTTCAATCTGGTTGCCAGGGTCTTTGTCAAGATCTTGATGTCTACATTGAATAGCGAAATAGGGCGGTAATTAGCCCACGTTTGCGTATCTTTAGCCCATTTTAGGAAGCATCACTATATGTGCCTTAAGCACATCAGATGTAAGGTGGCCCTCATGCTTAAGTTGATTAAAGGTCTGGGTTAGGATGGGTGCCACTATGTCGGTGAACTTCTTGTAGAACAAGGCCGTAAACCCACCTGGGCCTGCACATTTTGGTAATTTCAGCTCCATAATTGTGCATCTGATTTCGGCTTCCATGAGGTCTGCGCCCAAGTTTGAACGTTGGTCAGCTGTAATTTCCGGGAGGGGGGGGGGGGGGTTTGTCAAAGAAATTCAAAGATCTCCTCTGCGGGAGCCTCCCTTTTGCCCGCATACAATTTGGCAAGATAAAAGTAGAATTCATTGACAATGTGACGTGGATTAAGAGGTGAGTAAATGTTTCCTCGTTTTTAGGGTGTAAAAGTGTTGCTTCGGGGGGCGAACGAACGAAGACGATTAGCCAGCATAGCGCCAATTTTATTACCGCTTGCATAAAAGTATTGGTGAGACCAGCAAAGGTGGCGCTCCACCTCGTCTGTAAGACAAAGATTTGACATAAGATCTGTGCGCAGTTGTTCAATACACTTCCTATTACGTTCCAATGGAGATTTTTTGAAAAGCTGCGTCGCTGTCTCTAAGTCCTTCTCCAAGGTTAGTTTATCTTGTGTGCATTCTTTACAGCATCGCGAGGATAATTGAATTATGTGGCCACGGATCACCGATTTGTAAGCTTCCCACAAAGTTGTTGGGGATGAGACAGAGTGAGTGTTATTCCAAAAGTAATCTAAAGAATGGATCATTCTGTCTTCCGCTATTTGGGAGAAAGAGTCACCCGAGACACCACCCCGAGGAGCGGGGGCTGTGGTGCGACGCATTGCAATGTGCCAAAATAAAGTCATGATCCGACCAAGGGAGTGCATGGATCAGGACTGAAGACACTTGAGTCAAAAAAGATGGAATCACCAGAATATGGTCAATTCTAGAATGACTATTATGAGGTTGAGAAAAATAGGTGTAATCTTTAGAAGTAGGATGAACTTCCCGTCACGCATCCACCAAGTAATTGGATTTGAGCACAGTTGCAAAGTCGGAAGATGATGCCGTGGTGGACAAAGCAGTAGGAGGTGATCTGTCCAATCTTGGATTGGATTCACAATCGTATTGATGTCACCACAGAGCAGCAGATGGCCTTTCTGATGGGATTGTAATACGAAAAAGCGCATCTGTCATTGGTTCGGAGCATAATAAGTACAGAGAGTAACTTCCATATCGTGGAGGGTCCCTACAATGATCAAGCATTGACCTTGGGGGGCCGCTATGACACAAATGCGTTGGTACCTACCATCAAGAAAACTCGGCATATGCCCGGAGGACAGGTGGGTTTCCTGTAAACAGGCCAGGTCAAACTTTTGAGCCTGAAGATATTTAAAGACCTTAACTCTCTTCTGGGGTGAATTTAGACCCTACACATTCAACGTAAGCCAGTTAAACACCATTTTGTTGATATAAGTACAGTAGTTTAGAACTCGAAGGTCCCCTGAGGACCGCCTGACACCATCCCTGTGGCAACGGGGGAAAGAAAGAAATATAGAAAAGGGGGAGAGGAAATAGCCAGGAAAACAGAAGAGTACAGATGAGAAAAAGTGAGAATGGAAAATTAGCAACCAAGATAGCCCTGAAAATAAGCTCGGAATCTCGAACACAAGAAGCCTATGTACCAGCCAAGTGGATGCACAGAGTGCAACGCAGTGAGCCCTACACTGCGAGTGTTTCATAGGCTCGGGAGAAGGGTCGATCGGGGGTGGCATGGATAACTCTGGGCAAGGTGTCGTCCCACCACTCACTGCAGCATGGTTCGAGTTGTGGGGAGTCAGGGAGGCCACCAGGCAGAACAGCCCTGTGTCAGTACCAGACGCAGAAAAAAACCCAGCTGTCAGGGATAATTACAGATTGAAAACCTATAGGCTTATATGTAGGTATTAGCTTGGATAAATTGAATTGTGGTGTCTATGACACCCCCCACAGCGGCAGAGATGGAGATTTCATATAGATTTAGCAGGAGACCTCCGACAGCTCTTCTCAGACTATGCCCCGAAATTTGGTTCAGGAGGTGGGCATGAGGGTTGGAGTGAGCAGCTTGTAGAGCAGAGGGGAATTGATTAAGGCTGTTTGCTGACCCCTCAGAGCCGCCGAGAGAGAGCTGCTTGGTCTGATCCGCTGGTGGGGCCGGCGCCATCTTTATCTGACACTTGCATTGTGGCTTTGGGTCAGAATACTGGCAGGTTTTCGCTGTGTCCAGCAGGCCCATGGCTGTAGATCGGTGCCTGGGGTGTGCCTAAGGTGGTCCGGAGTAGATAGTGAGAGAATTAAGGCTGATCACTGTAGCGGGGAGGAAATCTGTGCGGAGCTAGCCTAAGAGTCAACCATCTTGGGTTGCCCCGTGCATGCACTCCCGGTATGGAACATTTCAAACGTTGATGGCAAGTTTTATTTTTTGCACAAAAAAGACTTTTCAATATTATCTTGAGGGTATTTTGTGGGGTATTCATGTCAATAACAACTGCTTTAATAAGTCAAACCTTGTCAGTTAGGCTGGCAGTTAGATTCACAAAGCATAACTAGGAAGCAGAGGCTACATATGCAAATGTGAATATGGCTTCTTCCATGTACATACATCATTATAAACTATACAAAGAAATAATGTTTTAATAAATTAACACATTTAATTCATTTTGGTTTTGACAGGTACCCGCTCCCACTTCCAGCTCAGTTGGCCGCCCCCCTGCAGCCCTCTGGCACACTTCACAGATCCCAGAGGACTGCAGTCCATTCACAAAGTGCAGTGTGCTTTGTGCAGTAGGACACCGGCTATGAAGCCGCAAGGCTTCACTGCCGTTTTCCCTTAGTTAAGATGGGGGCGCCAGCACCCAACAACCGATTGAAGAAGATCCCTGGACAGGTAAGTGCCCTAACATTAAAAGCCAGCAACTATAGTATTTGTAGCTTTTAATCGCTTCTCGGCCTTTTGGCTAAGATCAAGTGTAGTATCTGTTCTTATCAGTGTCCAGTGGGGGTGCTCCCGGTCATTCTTGCTTTGCGGGGATGACTGTTGTATAGTACCCTCACTGGTATGATGGGGGTCTGGACGGCTAGTACCGGGGGGACAGAAACCGGGACGCCCACACGTAGCTGGGGCCTGGGAGTAATTCCCCCAAGGAGACCGGAAGGACCCAGCTCCTCTTGATTTGGACGGATCTACCTTGTCTGGCCAGGGGTCGGGAAGACAGAGTCTGCAAACCAGTGCCCCCTGAGTACTCGCCTCAGGGGTGCCACTAGTAACACCTGGGTGTGGGACCCCACTGTGTGAAGATGGCACATGGTCACTGTGTTTTCAACTTTTTCTGCACAGCGCCCTTAGGACCAGGCCTTATGGCTAGGATCAGGGCAATTTTTGCTACAGGCCTCAGGGCCTGGTCTGTGCACTATTTGGCATGACCACTTTTTTATTTTCTATTTATTTAATTTATACACTCCCACGTATTGTCACTTTTTTCTTTACTTATGTGTGTGTTTTTCTCACAGGATGGAGGGTGTGGGTCCTCGGGCCTGCCCTGAAGTCTAGGGGGAGGATGTGTGGCCTTTTGGTTCCTTCCTCCCGTCCCTAGGGGGTTTTCTCTTCGGGAGAGCCCCCTGACCAAGTACTGGGTGTCCGGCTTCGGCTGGACACAAGGAACGGTGGTCCACCAGGCCTTTTGGCCAGGAGGACCAAATGGGAACCTTGTCCCTGTCAGGAGCTTCGTGCCCCGGGGGATCAGGTTAGTGGTCCAACCCCTTCGGGGGTAGGACAAAGCACACCCCTAAGTGCACTTTTTCGTGTGGTGTTTTGCACTTACGGGTTTTTCGTTATAGTTGCACGTTTGCGGACTTTAAAAAAAAAAAAAAATTTGTAGCTTTTAATTTTTCTTTGGGGGGGGGGGGGGGGGGGGGGGGGCAGGGGAGGAAACTTTGCTTTAAGCTGGTCTCCTATCTTAGAAATAAAATACAATTTGTCATGTACTGGTATATGTAATGCTACGTTCTTCCTTGTAATTGTTTTTAGTCTTTCATAATGTAGGCTCCAGGGAGCATTACACACTACTATATACCAATACTCTTCTTACCTGACCAATACGGCCTTGCCAGCCCATGCGGTGCAATCCAGCAGCTGCTAGAATAATGGCACTGAAATTGTGATGTTCTTCAAGTTTTTTCATGCGTGTATTTAAGTTACCTCGCTAAGAAAAATTCAGTTAAGGATTGAAAACAAAAAATGCAAGGTTTAAACACACACACACACACTTCTCTTTACCCATTTAAAATTAAAAAAAGCTAGTAAATGAACAACAGCTAGTGTAGACCAATGGCCGATGTTGAAATACATGAAGGGTTAAACCTTTTTTCCCCGCATTTTGGATAGGGTAGCAAATGGTTAGAACTACTATTAGGAGGGGGTGAGGTTTTTCCCTACATTTCCTGTTTTGTAGATACAACAGGAAGTGCGAGGAAATCTTTCTACAGTGCGTAAATCCCTTGCACGTACAAAGAAACCCTCTTGATCCTGGCAGAAATACATTGAAATTGTAACTGCATGTGGTGAGCTGACAAAGTTCTTCTGCTGCATAGAAATCCTAAGCAGTGTTGTCAGCCCTGCCTTATGTAATATAGATGAGGAGAGGGGGAGGTTTTCTGTTTTCTGTTCTACAGCAGAAGCAGCGTTGGAAGTCCACAAGAATTTAGAAGCACGCTGGAATTCTGGCAGGATTAACAGGTACATTCGGTATTTTGCTTAAAGAGACGAAAGATGGTAAAAGGATAAGTATTGAAGAGATGTCCTGAATATATACAGTGAGGACCATATATATTTGGACACAGGCACAATTTTCATACTTTTGGCTCTGTATACCAACAGATTAAAACGAAACAATCCAAAAATGAAAACGAAACAATCCAAATTAATTTGAAGTGAAGACTTTCAGCTTTAATTCAAGGGCTTCAACATAAATATCAAGTACAAATTTTAGGAACTGCAACCATTTTTATACACAGTCCCTCCATTTTCAGGGGCTCAAATGTAATTGGACAAATGAATATAATCATAAATAAAATGTTAATTTTTAATATTTTGTTGAGAATCCTTTACTGGCAATGACTGCCTGAAGCCTGGAACCTATGGACATTACCAAAGACTGGGTTTCCTCCTTTCTGCTGCTTTGCCAGGCTCTAACTGCAGCTGTCTTCAGTTATTCTTTGTTTGTGGGTCTTTCTGCCTTTAGTTTTGCCTTCAGCAAGTAAAATGCATACTCAGTTGGGTTGAGATCAGGTGACTGACTTGGCCATTGCAGAATATTCCACTTCTTTTCCTTCAAAAGCTCCTGGGTTGCTTTTGCAGTGTGTTTCGGATCATTGTCCATCTGTACTGTGAAGCGTCATCCAATCAACTTTGCTGCATTTGGCTGAAGCTGGGCTGACAGTAAATCTCTAAACACTACAGAATTCATCCGGCTGCTTCTGTCTTCTGTCACATCATCAATAAACACCAATGACCCAGTGCCACTGGAAGCCATGCATGCCCATGTCGTCACACTGCCTCCACCATGTTTTACAGATGACGTTGTGTGCTTTGGATCATGAGCTGTTCCAAGCCTTTTCCACACTTTTTTCTTCCCCTCATTCTGGTACAGATTACTGGCTTTTCTATTCTTCAGGCTTATGAATGGTTTGCACCTTGTGGTGAACCCTCTGTATTTGCTCTCGTGAAGTCTTCTCTGGATTGTAGACTTTGGCAATGATACGCCCACCTCCTAGAGAGTGTCCTTCACTTGTCTGGATGTTGTGAATGGGTTTTTATTTACCATAGAGAGGATCCTGCGATCATCCACCACTGTTGTCTTCCGTGGACTTCCATGCCTTTTTATGTTGCTGAGCTCACCAGTGCGTTCTTCTTTCCTCAGAATGTACCAAACTGTTGATTTGGCCACTCCTAATGTTGCTGCTATCTCTCTGACAAATATGGATTTGTGTAGTTTTTGAAGCCTTACAATGGCATGTTTCACTTGCATGGCAGCTCCTTTGAATGCATGATGTAGGTTCACAGCAACAGATTCCAAATGCAAACTTAGAATCAACTCCAGACCTTTTATCTGCTTAACTGATGAAGAAATAATGGAGTAGCCCACACCTGGCCATGAAATAGCTTTTAATTCAACTGTCCAATTACTTTTGGTCCCTTGAAAAAAAGAGGGGATGGCGACTCTTAAGAGCTGTAATTCCTAAACCCTTCCTCTAATTTGGATTTTCAAATGAAACCTCACAGTGGGCACTTTCAGCCCATACCCATTATATAACTATAGCTTGAATGTGTTTTGGTAAATACCTGAAAAAGACTAAAATTATGCCTGTGTCCAAATATATATGGACCTAACTGTATTTTTTTTTTTGTTCACACAAACACTAAGTTCTCTAGCTGTCCTCAAGATTCCAGCATTATCCCTGAACTCTCCTTAAAGTGAAACTTCAGTCACACTTTAAAATGTGATTTATCCACTCCCATTTTCTAAATCTGCAATTTTTCAGTGTAAAAAGCAAGCTGTAACTACATTCACCATATATGCAGCCATCCTGAGGGCAGCTGAAGCCAGCGCCCTCTGTTTTCCAAGGAATTCATGACGCTTCTCTGTGGTGCACAGCGAGTCCGTCGTGCATGCCCAGTACACATTGGAGTCCGCACTTGCACACTAAATATGGTCTCCATCTGTCCTTTGCTGGTTTCCGCCCATTTCTGCCTGTGCTTCACCCTACTCCAATTCTCCCCCACTCACAAAAAAAAAAAAAAAAAAAAAAAAAAAAAAAAAGGTTGAAGACTCCTGGGATATCTGACAAAAATATCCCAGGGGTCAACAGGAGTAGAGTTTTGACGTCATTCGCCTACAAGGAGGAAGCAGGAAGTGCAGAGGAACAATGAATAAAAAGAAGGTATTTGGATCTAGAATTTTTTTTTCCTTCCACTGGTGTTCAAAAAGGGGGAGAGAATGCTATTAGAAGGAAGTTTAGGAATAGACTGAGGATCCGCTTTAAAATATGGACTGAATCACAATAGTACCATTACACTTTAATATCAGTTTGTTCTGTTCATCGCTCCAGTTGTCAAGGGAGTTTTTACCAACCCTTGTATATTAGCTATACCAAAAATAGATATTGATTGGAAAACACCCCATATCATGATAAGAAACAAATATTGCCACTTACACAAGGATACAATATCTTTGAATTCTAAATGTGGGTACATTTTCTTTAACTGAGCTGCTCTACGAAGAGAACTTGTTCCGATTATACTGTAATTAAAAAAAAAATGACATTAGGACTCCATAAACCTATATTGACTTAATGGTGAAAAGATGCCAAAAAAGTGAAGAAAAAAAAAAGTCAACATGTTTCATACTAATTCACACATTAACTACTACATCTGTAGAAAGAAAAATCAATTCAAACTATACAAATAATACATACATTTAAAAGTGATACTAAAACCAATTTACCTTAATACATTCCTTACATTAAAGCAGAGCTCCACCCAAAACGGGAAGTTCCGCTTTAGTGCTTTGTCCCCCAACCCCCATTAAGAATTGGCACCTTTGGGGAGCGGGTACCCAAATTTGACAGGTGCCCGCTCCCACTTCTGCTGCAATCGCCTAGGCAATCGGAAGCAGAAGTTGTCCTCCCCTCTCCCTCCCCGTAGTCTTCTGGGATACGTGACAGGGCTCAGAAGACTACAGGGCCATTCACAAAGCACAGCGCTTCTCGTGCATGCGCAGTAGGCACCCGGCTGTGAAGCCGCAAGCTGTCAGAGTTGGGTCCCAGCACTAAAGATGCTGGTGCCAGGGAGAGAAGACAGCTGGTGAAACCAACGGTGGTGAGGACACAGCTGCAGTTTTTGTAGCTGCTGACTTTTTTTTTTTATTCAGCTGGAACTCCGCTTTAAGGTAAAAAATTTATTTTATTCCTCTGTCCTTCCCTGTGTGAAGGGGAAGAGAGGAGAGAATAGATCCAGCACTGCATCTCTTCTCCCCTCACTTTCTCACACAGGGACTCAAGCAGCAGCAGGAGCTATTGGCTTCTGCTGCTGTCAACCAAATGCAGTGAGGAACAAATGGGGGGCCTAAGTCCCACTGTGTGTGTCTATGGAGCACAGCTCCATAGACACACCGCTCGGGAGCGAGCACACACAATGTGCCCCCATAGTAAACCGCTTGCTATGGGGACACACAAAGAGGAGGAGCAAAGATTGTCGGCAGGGGACCTCAGTAGAGGAGGATTGAGGGCTACTCTGTACAATACCATTACACAGAGCACGTAAGTATAACATGAAAAAAATAGGGTATAAAAAGTGAGCGCTCTCAATATAAGCAGCTATTGCACTACAGGTAACCAAATAAAACCTCAGTCATAAATATAAATAAAAGTGCACACTAATAAATTAATCATAATGTCCGTATAGAAATATAGGTATGTTGGACAAATAAATAGTTCTTAAGGTGACAATCCGTACATAAAGTGTCAACTGCGGCGATACTTCAGTGCTTGTGCTTTGAAAAAGTGGGGTAAGAATACGCACTCACCAGATGCGTAATGAAAATACGCATGTAAATCAATCAACAGAGGTCCCCTTTAAGGAAGCGGATTAGGCCAGGTAAAGGATTATCCTCCCTCTGGGTGGTGTGTGGTACATCAGGCACTTCTGGGTAGTATAGGGATCCAGTCAGCCAGAGCTGTGATCTGGCCAGCGGGCTCGACAACCCCCCCCCCCCCCCAGGGCTTCATCCTGCGGAAGTCCGCTCTAGGAAGTGTCCGCCGTCCTGATGAAGAAGGAACATACTTACTTCTTATTCAGGACAGCGGACACTTCCTAGAGCGGACTTCCGGTGCTAGAGGAAGCGAGAGCGGAGCCAGAGGACGAAGCCCGGGGGGGTCGCCGAGCCCGCTGGCCGGATCACAGCTCTGGCTAACTGGATCCCTATACTACCCAGAAGTGCCTGACGTACCACACACCACTCAGATACTGCAGCGATAAGCACTGAAGTATCGCCGCAGTTGACACTTTATGCACGGATTGTCACCTTAAGAACTCAGTAAGTATAACATGATTTTTTTTTTCATATAAAATAACAGAGTTTAGTAACACTTTAATACACAGGTGCAGTTATATTAGAAAATCATGCACTTTTTTTTTTTATTATTATTATTAGATTTGTACAATATCAAAGCCTTGCATATACTTATTAAAGCTGAAGCTTAGTTTTCTTTTCTACAGCTTTAGTTTCATTACTTACCTGTAATGAAGTACACTATACTGCCAGAAGTATTGGGACACCCCTCCAAAACATTGGATTCAGGTGTCTCAATCGCCTCCATGGCCACAGGTGTATAAAATCAAGCACCTAGGCATGCAGACTGCTTCTACAAACATTTGTGAAAGAATGGGTCGCTCTCAGGAGCTCAGTGAATTCAAGCGTGGTACCGTGATAGGTTGCCACCTGTGCAATAAGTCCATCCGTGAAATTTCCTTTTTACTAAGTATTCCACGGTCAACTGTTATTGGTATTATGATAAAGTGGAAGCAACTGGGAACAACAGCAACTCAGCCACCTAGTGGTAGGCCACGTAAAATGACAGAGCGGGGTCAGCGTATGCTGTAGCGCAGTCCGCAGAAGTCGCCAACTGTCTGCAGAGTCAATAGCTAAAGACCTCCAAACTTCATGTGGCCTTCAGATTAGCACAAGAGTGCATATAGAGCTTCATTTAATGGGTTTCCATGGCCGAGCAGCTGCATCCAAGCCTTACATCAACAAGTGCAATGCAAAGCATCAGATGCAGTGGTGTAAAGCACGTCACCACTGGACTCTAGAGTAGTGGAGATGTGTTCTCTGGAGTGATGAATCATGCTTCTCTGTCTGGCAATCCAATGGACATGTCTGGGTTTGGCCAGGAGAACGGTACTTGCCTGAATGCATTGTGCCAACTGTAAAGTTTGGTGGAGGGTGGATTATGGTGTGGGGTTGTGTATATATATATATATATATATATATATATATATATATATATATATATATATATATATATACACATACATACATACATACATATACACACACACTCAAACTATAATTCATCCAAAATGTACAATCACATAACAGTCATAAAGGTGCAACTATAAATGAATAACTACTCAACGATAAATCATAGGCATTAACAATTCAAATGACAATGTGGCTAACAACTAATGTGCAAATACGCAAAAAATGCCAGTAACCTAGATGGCCAAGTGGAGTTTTCTGATGCTATACCTGCTGTATGTTCTGCAATAAAATGTAAGTGGCTCTACTTAATAGAGCTGTTTTTTTATGTGGATTTACACAATGGAACACACAGGCCAAATAGAAGTCAGTATCAGCCAGTTCAACAGAAACAGGCTGACATTTGGCCCTTGTGTACTGCAGCTGGTCCGACAGAAGCCAGATATTCATCTGGGTTCTGTCGAAGGGGCATGACCGAAAAAAAGGTCTGCCGATCGTCTTTTAACTGGTGTGTCCTAGTGGTGAGGCGGTCCCCGTCAGAACACAATAGAACAGCGGGAAAGATCGTACTAACACCACTAGTGTTAGTACAGCGATCTGTGAAGGTTTTTTTTTCCTTCAGCCCACTGGGTTGAACGAAAAAGAAAAACACTACTGTGACATGAGTTACTGGTCCTGTTGAGATTGAGGAGGAGGTGTGGAATGTCCATCTAGTGATCTAGAGACAAGCCTCAGAGGTTATACACCTTACTCACCAGGGAGTTTTCTGAAGTGCAATTAAGGGGGCAGAAGGCCTTTTGAGATACAAAACCGATTTATGATCACTCTGTACTGGGGGGGTCAGATAATTCTGCTAAGCCCCCCTTATACTTACCTGAGCCCTATCTCGATCCAGCAAGGGGTTGGGGGCGAGATGCGTTCCATGTGTCTTATGGAGCCAGAAGCCCTGACGGGGGACCCGAGAAGAGGAGGATCAGGACTGCACAGGGCAGGTAAGAATGACATGCTTGTTGTTTTTAAAAAAATTCTAAAAAATTTGCCTTTCCAATTACTTTCAGCTTTAATTATGTTTGTTTCATCATGGAGCAGCAAGTTAATTTGAACCAACTCATTTTAATTTGTCTATTTGAGCCCCTTTTACGAGAGCTTTTCTCGTAAAGACAATGCAGATTTAACATGCATGTGAGAAATGTCAGAATTGGCCCGGGCAGAAGCAGTTAACCACTTGACTACCGGGCCAATTCTGACATTTATGTCATACATGTGAAAATCTGCATTTTTTTTTGCTAGAAAATTACTTAGAACCCCTAAACATTATATATTTCACACAGATACCCTAGAGAATAAAATGGTGGGTGATGCAATTTTTTATGTCACACGGTATTTGCACAGCGGTTTTTCAAATGTAAATTTAAAAAAAAAAAAGACAATACACTTTAATGAATTTTAGTGAACACAAACATAACATAATATCCAATTTCTTTTGTAAAATATAAAAGATACCTGCTGTGACAGGTCCTCTTTATGGAGTGATCTAGGGTCCAAGAGATGAGACCAAGATCTGTTTGATCTGCTGCTTCACAAGCCAGTAACGGACTTGTAAGCAAAGAAACCAAAACCGGAAGTGATGAAATCCTTGTTGCTTCCAGTTTCTGACATCGCACAGTAGGAGGAACAACAGCAGTTCCTTCCACAGTGTCCGGGGAAGCTGATGCTGCCAGACACATCCTTATTGGGCTTCTCGATCGCAGCCACCTGTCAAAGTAATCCAGAAGCTGTATAGCCAGTAGGATTACTTTTACAATGTGCAGAATTGCTGGCTGAAAAAAACCTATGCCAGGATCGTGACTGTAGCTGTAGACATGATCCTGGTATAACAGCTTCAATACCAGGATGTATATATACGTATAACCGTTAATATATCAACACAAAGAGAAATGGTACAAAATAACCAAATCAACCAAACTTCACTTTTCATCCTGGTTAGAAGAGACAGAATTAGAAAAAAAATATGACCATGGATTGGTAGCTATGGGAAACGGTACTTCATATTTTGCATGCTTTGTTAAGGAGTTGCCTCAAATGTTAGCACCACAAAGACAACAATTTAATTAGTGATACAACAAAGAATTTCACCTGTTTTCAGACAAAGTTTCTAACTTATTCCCAGCAAGTTTAGGATGGAATACAACTGCATCAAATGGATTCTCACGCCTGAAGACACAAAAAGGGAAACTCCTCAGTTACTGCAGTAACAATACAGCAAATGATTTCTATCAGGTTGGATAAATAGAAGAGGATAAACATACTTGCATACAGCTCCAATAGTGAAACCAGGTGGTAATGTTGTTGGTAAATCCTTTAGTGAATGAACCACTAGGTCAACCCTAAACAACAAAAGAAAAACAACAAAAAATGCAAAAATTACAGAGAAGGAGTGAAGATTTTCTTTGCTATCAGAAACATGGAAATGTTATATTGGCCTTTACAGTCCCCCAAAAATAATGTGCCATCTTTCCTGAATTCCTAAAAAAGAAACAGAGAAGAGGAGGATGCCATCAACACAGAGCTTACACAGGTGTGGACATGGAGGACTAGGCAACCAACACTTCTGGAAGTGTGTTACGTCCTGTAGATTCTTTGGCCAGCATAAGGCTGAAAGGGAGTAATGATCAGAGCATCAGTGATGGGACAGGTTCTGTACCTTTTCTTTATTTAGGTTACCTTTTTATTTACAGGAAGGTTATAGGAAATTACTATAAATACCTCCACAGATCAGGGGTTCTGACTCTACAAGCAACTAACAATTTTAGAAAGGAAGTGTGCAATTATAACTCATATATTGCCTGCAGCACAGGTTTTCCTGCAATTCTCACTGACATCCTCCTTCTCACAAAAAAAAAAAAGAAAGAAAGAAGAAACACAGTGGCATATCATTTTCCTCCATGATGCATTAAGCTCTGTTCTTTGCCTCATCTGTAAGACAAGCTTTGCATAACCACCATCTGCCATGTGTTTTTACAGCTTAAACCCTTCTCCTGTAACAACGGGCAACACCACTTATCAACATTACCCTCAGCAAGTGCTATAGACAATTCCCTTCCCATGGTAACATCATAGCATAAAGTGCCTTGATAAAGTATTCATACCCCTTGAAATTTTGCACATTTTGTCATGTTACAACCAAAAATGTAAATGTATTTTATGTGATAGACCAACACAAAGTGGCACATAATTGTGAAGTGGAAGGAAAATGATAAATGGTTTTTCACAATTTTTTTACAAATAACTATCTGAAATGTGTGGTGTGCATTTGTATTCAGCCCCCGAGTCAATACTTTGTAGAATCACCTTTCGCTGCAATGGTGTGGTGGATGGTGTGTTCAGGGTGATGTGCAGTGTTAGTTTTCCACCACACATAGGCCAAAAAGTTCAATTTTGGTCCCATCTGACCAGAGCGCCTTCTTCCGCATGTTTGCTGTACTCCCCATATGGCCTCCCGCAAGTGGTAAACGGGACTTCTTATGGCTTTCTTTCAACAATGGCTTTCTTCTTCCCACTCTTCCCATAAAAAGCCAGATTTGTGCAGTGCACGACTAATAGTTGTTCTGTGGACAGATTCTCCCCCCTGAGCTGTGGATCTCTTGTCTCCTTACCATGGGCCTCTTGGCTGCTTCTCTGGTTAACCCCTTGGCGCCTTCCGGCCCTTTAAGGGTTCCAGAAGCCGGGAGGCGGGGCAGGGTTTTAGTGTCCTGTGACCGCCATGATTCGCTGTCATGGCGGTCACATGATCGGGAAAGGTCCCAATCGAAAGAGGAGATCGGGAACTTTCCGTTAGTACCGAATGTGTATGCTGGGAGCGCGCTCTCAGCACATATGTTTTTTTTTTAATAGAAAGCAAATGTGTGCCGCTCGGCATCTAGGCCCAGATGCCGGGAGGCCGCACATTTGTGTTCGGCCGGTGCCAAGACGTTAATGTTCTCCTTGCCCAGCCTGTCAGTTTAGGTGGATGCCCATTTCTTGGTAGGTTTGCAGTTGTGCCATACTCTTTCCATTTTCAGGTGATGATTGAACAGTGCTCTGTGAGATGTTCAAAGCTTGGGATATTTTTTTTTTTAGAGCCTAACCCTGCTTTAACCTTCTCCACAACTTTATCTCTGACCTGTCTTGGCCTTCATGATGCTGTTTGTTCACTAATGTTCTATAACAAACCTCTGAGGGCTTCACAGAACAGCTGTATTTATACTGAGATTAAATTACACACAGGTGGATTCTATTTACTAATTAGGTGACTTCTGAAGGCAATTGCTTCCACTGGATTTTAGTCAGGGGTATCAGAATAAAGGGGGCTGAATACAAATGCACACCACAATTTTCACATATTTATTTGTAAAAATTTTGAAGACCATTTATCATTTTCCTTTCACTTCACAATTATGTGCGACTTTGTGTTGGTCTATCACATAAAATCCCAATAAAATACATTTACATTTTGGGTTGTAACATGACAAAATGTGGAAAATTTCAAGGGGTATGAATACTTTTTCAAGGCACTGTATTTGTACAGCAGTTTTAGGCATCATGCACACAGGCGTATGAATTTATGCTGCATTGTTTCTGCTAGAACTTGCCAGAAAAAAGGCTTTGGTCATATATTTGCATGCGTTTATGCGTATATGGCATTTATAATAAATGTGTAAACATTCTAATGGCTAGAATAGACATTTATTGTAGCCACTAGAATAAATTTATGAGCATACACGCACGTTTACATGCGTACGCATGTAAATTATGCTCATAGGCGCCTCTCCAAACACAGCTTTGGGTCACTTTTTTTCAGACCCCTGAACACTGCGCACAAATACGTGCATAAACGTCTGCATGTGCATGGCCACAATAAATAACATGCAGCTGCATTCATGGACATAAAAAAAATGCCAGGTGCTCCTACCAGCGGCATTTTTTTCTGCCCATGTGTATGAGCCCTTATGGTACAAGGCAGGAAAAAGTTTGGCTACTATGGTTAGTGCAAATTCTACAGTACTGGTAAATACATTTAGGCCGATTTGACTTAGGGCCTGAGCTTGTGCAACATAAATCCAGCATACTCCCCCACCCCCTTACAGAAAGACCAGGTGCTGCATGCAGCTGCCCATAGACATGAAAGGCCGCTCTCGGCTTTACCAAGGTATACACCGGTGCTCACATAAACACAAGTATAGAAACTGGGTGTGTGCAGGAGGCTTTATAGGTTTATGATAAATGTAACACATGCTTCTTCAGTTTGGAACAACCCCACAACTTCCCCACTTACTCATTTCTCTCCAGTGCATTCTCCAGCTCTTTTGTAAAGAGGCTCTTCTCTCCTATCTGCAAAGTTGAATGAATAGCAGTCAGTGATTTCAACAGAATATATAAAAGGAACTACAATTCAGACTCCAGAAAAAAAAAAGTTGCTGCACTGACAAAACAACATGCTGCAGGTACTATGTTTACAAAAAAAAAATCAGAAAACCAACCTTTGATAAAGCAGTATCCAGAATTTTATCCCCTGTTGTGGACATTGCAACTAGAAAACAAAATGTAACAACAGTAAAAGCAATGGGGAGGAGAAAGTGTGGAATATTTGTTTTTCTTATAATACAATGAGATACATATGGCAAAAGCTGAGGCAGATGGAAAAATGATAAGAATATTAAAAAGCAAGATCAGACTCTCTCAACCTTTTCAACACAGAGAAATCCCCTGAAATTACTTTCCAGTCTCAGAGAACTTCTGCTTAAAATGACTATATCTACAACTCATGGTGGTCAATGGGCAGAATGCTCCTTACACTTGTGGTCATTGGGAAGAATTATCCCCTTATAGATAGCTAAAAAGATCAACAGTGTTAGCGGGAACTTATCTGAGAAGCAGAAATTGCTCAAGAAACTCCTAAAAAACTCTGAAGGAACCCTGGCGGAGAAATCCTGAGCTAGATCATAGATCACAGAATATTAAATGATCACAGGGTGAATTCATGCAGGCCTGTTTTATGGTAAAGACTTGTGCTGGCCATACACAGAGAATTTCATTCAGTTCCTGATGAACCAGCCAAAACTCGCTTAGTGGGTATACATTGATTGAAAAATCAAAAGGAGCTGGGTGGAAAATATCAGTTGAACAGTGGCTGCTTCAAATCAGATGCAAGTACTGTTCAAGTATTTCGAATAGCTGTCAAAATACAATAGTCCAGCAAGGGGAATCCTCCACCTGCAGTGTGTAGCGTGGATGGAGGAATCCCTTGGGTTTTTTCTATTCAACCTGCAGGCTGAACAATAAAGTCTATACATGTATGGCCAGCTTGTACAGCTAGTTAGACAAGCACATAAATAGTCTGTATAGTTTTGAGGACAAAGGCGTAGCACAGTAAGGTAAATTCACTCACCAATTTCAAAACGAACATCGGGAAACTTCTGGCTCAGCATTTCCACCACGCTATCAGTTTGGATTCGTGCTAGCTGTAGATAGATATAACATACATTGATCAAGAATAGACTAGTTCTCATCATTCGCATACAAGTGGAATGTGCTAAATACATTTTGTCTACCCAAATTAAAGGTAGGCTCACCTGGCTTTTCCTTGTACCGACTCTGATGACATCTCCCCCCTGGCCAAGACCATCCTAAAAAAGTATAAAGTTATGAGATCAGACTGGGAGACATATCTTTAAAAAGTGACCCTCCTGAGCAGCATACAGAGCAGAAAAGAGCACAGTAAGTGTGTAATAATGATTTTATATGCCATCCGTGTGCCTAGATTTGTGTTAACACATTATGGTTATACACTGTATATCATCTTTATAGAATGTGTGCACATATTTACAGTTTTCTTAAATATTACTTTAACTAAACTAGAAAAAAAAAATGATGCAGTTAAGACAGTTCCAAAAAACTGAAAACATTTTGACAATTCCTTTCTAAAACATCAATTCCTAACAAATTCTACAGAAGACATACAAAAAAAATATACAAATTATCTGAATTTCTAAAATGTACCTTAGATTTGGAATTTTCCATTTTCAGTGAAAAACCCAGGTGAGGAACAGAGCACTCTTCTAAACGGGTCTCCTTTCTACTCTGCAGTCCCAGTTTCAGTTAAAAGAATATTTCTCAATGGCAATATGGACAAGCTGATAAGTTGTAGGGTCAGGGGGTGGAACAGATAGTATTCTACGACCCCACCCCTCGGTGTAATTTAACACAGAATCCCAAACTTTGTTATCAGTGGAGCTCAGGCTGGACTTCTTATCAAAGGCAAAAAAATGATGGTGACACTTATCTGAGCATAAAATGGTAACTCCTCTCTTTGTGCTGAGCTGCCAAAATGAACTACTACATCTTCACTAACGAAGATGTACAATGTGCCTGCACAATCCTTTTATTCAAACTAGTTGGGGAAGAAGTAAAACAAATTCTGCAGCCATCTTAGACTTAAAATGTCTGCTACAATAATAAAAGCAGTGGATTTAGGCCCGTTATACAGTACGTGGATCAGTTTTTTTTTTGATCAGCCATTAAGCTGATCGAAAAAAAAAAAACTGAACCGATTCCCACATCCACACAAGTGAGGTGCATGGAATCTTCCCCACTATGTTGTTTTTTGACAGTGGGGACTCCTCTGACTGGCTGTAGCGATGATCAAAGGAGAATTTTTCAACAAGCTGGTTCAAGCAAAGTCAATCATCAGATTGACTTCTCTGGAATGGGAATGGCCATAGATGAATCAAAATTCAGCCTGCTGAACCAGCTGAACTTCGATCCATCTATGACCAGCTTTGGTCCCACAGGAGGTCATACACCACTATAAAGGCACCAATTCAAGAATATTTTTAAACCCAGCTGGCTATCAAAGTGCCAACAGTGGTGCATATATAAAAGAAAATGATGTGATAGAGGTCCATGTTGCTCACCCAGTATAAATTTCTCCTGAGACCCATGAATGATACTAGCTACCAACCTGAACTAAACGTACAAGGCAATTAAAAGAAAAAAAGGTCTGGCATGCAAGATATTCAAGACTCAGGCTTCAAGAACAAGATAAAAAGGAAACATTGGGATACAAAATCATCATGACCCAGGAAACCAGATGACATGATATACTAAGGCCTGCTTCACATCTATGAAGGTTGCAGTTCATGCATTTTTCCAGTGTGTTTTTTTTTTTTTTTTTTTTTTAACACACGTTCTTTAGAGCTGGTTTACACCATGCTTTGGAGTTGGTTTACACCATGCTTTGGAGTCGATTCACACAGGAATGAGCTGTGTGTTCCTGTGCAATTCACATGAGGCTCTGTGCAGTGTGACTTCAAACCCATTCATGCACTGTAACATTTGTACCATACAATCCGGTGCAGGCAGGTGTGAGGAAAGGCATTGCATTTGCTACCTGCGTTTGGGTTATTACATCTTTCTTGACACCCGCTGCAGATTGCAAAAGCAGTGCACTTTGAATGTGGGTTGAAATGCACAGGTACGCACAGCGTGTTCCGGTGTGATTCAGGCGCGAACAAGGTGTCGACCAGCCCTTTATGAGTTTTTCATCTTTTTGGGAGGTGTCTGTTGTCTTGTGGGAGAAACCAGCAAAAATGCAAAGTCTATACAACCTGCTACAAGAAAAAAAGCCCCTGACCCTTTTCAAAAAACACATTGGGGAAAAATGCACAGAGGTGAATGTGATATACAAAACCATGTTAAATGGACTCTAGTGCATTTCTGCAAAACTGAGAACGCACTGAAAAATGCATAGGTGTGAACAGGCCTAAGGCTTGGTTCACACTTGAGCAGGTCCTCTGTGCTGTGTTTACACAGGCACAACAGACCACTCATTTGAATGGCTGCTGTACCTCCAACAAATGTGGGGGAAAAAGTCCCTGACTCTTTTTGTTAAATTCAAAACCAGCGTGTAGTGTAGCGCTGCTCAAAAATCATCCACTCTAGTGAACACTAAAGTATAACATAAACATAAATAAGTCCAAAAAAACATAAATCACTCAACAGTAAAGGTAGAAATAATAGTCCCAAGAAAGTCTCGAGAAATATTGGTGAGAAGTGTATTCCTACTGGTGAGTAAGCCCACTATCCCGGTGCTGTAAATCTTTTAACTAATGTGCATCACCATGGTGACCAAAGCTTATAGGTGGACCTTCACCTTCATATATTGACCCGAATGTAAAGACAGGAGACAGGCATCTCCCCTCCTAATGGGGGTAAAATGTGTCCTCTCCTCTGGAAATAATCTGCCTCTCATTATGGCCACTGTATCCTCAATACTATCCCTTTAACAGCATGACTGGCTCTGTGGGTAGAACTCACAACCATATAAAGCGACCAAAGTACAGCGTGTTTCTTAAAATCCACAATTAGTTTATTGGAAATGCACTCACATTTAAGAGAAGTGAACCTCGCAGTATAACAAAAGCCGCAAAGCTGCAGTTGACAATGTGCAGCGTCTTTGACCGTACTAGCGGTGTTCCAGCTCTGACGTCACCTGACTCCTCCCCACACGTATCGTCACGAATCACAGGACTTCATCAGGGATCTTTTTTTTAAATTGTAACCACATGGTGGCACCATGCAGTTTTGCACATCTAAAAACGTGACGCATTTTCCAATGAGTGGGGGAGCCATTAAAAATTAACACCTCCTCGCATCTGCAAAAGAGCACAGCTGTGTGTTTTGCCTACAGGTCGGAGAACACGTATGATTGGCAGACATTCCCCGACCCACGTGTGTGAACCTAGTCTAAGGGAGTTGAAGGACAAATGCATGTTTGACTCCTAAAATATTATTCAACATAATGGAAACAACATTTTATATAAACCTATCCATCTTAAAGGTTTAAAGTGGAACAAGAAATTCAAGGCAATGACTCAAAAGGTGCCTGCACATACCTTTCTAGATTTTCTGATTTGAACTAGAAGCAAATAGAAACTCCCCTACAATTCACTTTAGTCACTATGACTGCCAGTCACTTTTGGGACCAATAGTCAAGGATGTAAATGAGTTGGCCAACCTTCACCTTTACTTTCCAAGTCGTTATTTAGATATGAGGAAGCCTGGGTCACTGGGCATCCAGGGCACTCAAGAATACGTTGATTGATTTTCAGTCACTAGGTCAGGCACTATTGAGCTTACTTTTCAATAATTATGTTGGTGCAAACTCTCCATAGGATTGAATGGAGAGAGAGTACATGCAGAGTGTACAGCAGATGTGTGGCCTGGCTGAGAAGATAAGCAGCAGATTAAGTATGCATTTATACTTTAACAATCATACTGGAACTTAAATATTTGCATTTGAATGAGTTGCCTAATGCACCACAAAAGGTGCATGTGCCATGTCTGGCAGCACACCGCAACACAGGTTAGTCATCAAGGTATGTAGGTGTGCTATTCAGAATGGAGGATACTGCATCACAGCAATGTATGAAACATGCAATTCTTTGCATCACTGGGCCCTCGAGTGGGGGGGGAGGAAGCAAAAGTTTGTGATAAGCATCATCACTATATTTTGGGATTCTTACATAGCATTTTCATTTTACAGACTGTTTCTGAACACAGATTACGACTCTGCATGGCTACTATACTGTACGGTATGGTAGTAATCATTGACCACTGTGCTACCCATGAGTTAGGGGAGTGCCGCAAGTGTACCTATTATAGCACTACAACAGCTGAGAGCCTATTCACAGACTATTTGCTGCATATGTAATACTAACATGTTTAGGTACATGACGCGCCTCCTTCCAACCTCCACGTGTCCTGAGCTTAGCTGTCTGTTCTAAGTGCCCAGGATCACATGACGGGTGTCAAGAGGAAAAGCAGCAGAATATATATACCTATATATGTTACCAGATCCCCCCAGGGTGGTATAAACCCGGAAGTGCTCAGCTCTGAGAACACAGGGACTCCCCAGGAACACAAGTTAAAGGTCAGGGCTCAGTGAGAACACATAATATAGAGGGCATATGGGGGCACTCCTGGAACAAAAATTAGAACCCAGGTGAGGGCTTCATAAAACACACATCAGAACCTGAGGGGGCCCCAGAAACACAAGCTAGATTTCACCCAGAGGGTCCCCAATAATACAAGCTAGAAGCCAGTGAGGCTCCACAAACAGTAACTAGAACCCAGAGGGGCCCCAGAAACACAAGCTAGAACCCAGGAGCAACTGGGAACAAAAAGGCACAGTTTAGGGCCCCCCCAAGAATACAAGTTAGAGGTCAGAGTTCCCCTGAAACACAAGTTAAAGGTCGGGCCCCACAGGAGCACAGGTTAGGACTCATTCAGATGTGCTCTAAGACCTGTCCTCAATGCTGAGCTTTCTGCTGTGTCTATATCCACCTGGGAAGCAGGCAGCCCATAGAAGTGGGATGCAGATGCAGTGGCTATGGGGACACTGTCACATGTCTAAATGTGACGTTTGGGCAGGAGCGGGTGAACAGTGTTGAATGCAAAGTGTATCAGGAATCCAAGCTGGTGGTGACGGCTTCAGAGAACAAAAGTTAGAGGTCAGGGCTCCCTGGGGACAGAAGAGGTCGGGGCTCTCCAGGGAGAGGTCAGGGGTCCCCGGGAATAGAGGAGGTCGGGGCTCCCCGGGGGACAGAAGAGGTCGGGGCTCCCCGGGG